ACAAATAAATTAAAACGTAAAAACTAAAACGCGTTAAAACACACACCTTAGCGCCTTCTTCGAGAAATAATTTAACAGCTATAGCTCCGATACCAGTCGCACCTCCAGTGACAAAAACAATTTTATCGTTTAAATTGTACATTATTAAAACACGTCTTATTCTTTCGGAAAATATTAACGTCTGATATAATATATTTTAATATCGATAAAGTCCGATGTAAGTAACAATTTATTGCAAATCATTCTATTTAATAATATTAAACTAAAATACATAAAGTGATTATTATATACTACTCAAAACAATTAGCGGAACAAGATTTTTCTCCTTTCTATTGCTTAAACTAAAATTAGATTTAAATTAACTTGTACGCTATTTTTTACCTTGTTAATTTATTAATTACTACAATTAATAAAAAAATTCAATTTGTATTTTTTTTATTAAAAAAAATTAAAATGTGCATTGTAGACGAAAAACAAAGTGACGTCTTTGAATTTTCATTACTTTCTAATCACAGAAAACACATTTTAAGTAGTTTTTTTCAATATTTTGAGTATTAATAGAAATTGAAGTGAGCCTTTTGAGTTATAGTTTGGCATTTTTATTTTTTTAGGAGATATAGTTTTATTTTTTTTACCATAAACAGTAACTTTTGCTTCCAAGGTCTCTATACTAAATTTTCTTTAAATTATTTATTATCGTATTTTGCCCAATTTTTGTAGGTATTCTAAAAATTTTTACCACGACATCGTTGCTGTTTGATACGTTTTCGTAATTGTTACTCTATATTTTTTTTATTAGTATAGTTCACTTATGTTGTTCCCACGAGAATGTAAGTGCGTGCTCCTATTTCACCATGCCTCCTGCTGATAGAGGACAAATCTTTGTTTTTAATTTATTTTATTATTATTTATTACTTAATATGTCATGTGGAACATGGTGTTATGGTTGCAGCTCCTTTCAAACATTGTGTAAAACAAAAAACTTGGCGATTAAAAAGAGTGGCAGAGAGTATATTGCCAGTTCTTCTTTTCCGTTCTACGTCCTTGATTTGAGAACTGGCAGTAAATGTAAAATTAGAAGCATTTACTCCTACACACATACATTACATTATGTTACCTATATAAATAAATGATTTTGATTCTGTTAGTTGTACCCGGAAAGCAAGCTGTACTCTTAGTGATTTTTTATTTATTTATTAACACTTTGTTGCATGTACAGAAATACTATTGACATAATTAAATGAAAAAGAGGGCAACTGACGGCCTTATCGCTTTCGAGTAATCTGTTCTAGGCAACCACTGACAGAACAAAAAAAATGCAAAAATACATAAGGCATATTAATTTCCAACAAAACTAATGGAGCAAAGCAAAGCAATTAAAACAAGTGAACAAGACAAGCTGCTACTCCTCTGAATAGCAGAGGGCTTTGGGTGTGTAGCCAATCCAGGCCAAAAAATATCTATGACTAAGTTTTCCAATGTTTGAGACTATTTTATTTTCTTTGATAAAATATTTAAGTTTTTATGAAAATTGTAATTCTATTTTATCACCGTTAGTCTTATTTGACCTTGATTAATATATATATAACAACAATATTTTTATCACTAGTGTTTACAATTTTTTATCTATTGTTAAATACTGTTAAAATTTAACTTTTGAGGTTACTTTATTTACTTAAGTCGGAGATGTTTTTTATAGAACACGAGGCAAACGGACAGGATAGCCGTCCAATAGCGGTCCCGACTGAAATGTTTTGTTTTTGTACCATAAGATCCCCAAGGTTGCCACATCAGTACTATGAATATATTTGTTTATAATATTAACTTTTTATTTTATTTTATTTATTATGTAACACCGTTACACACGACCTTCATTACTCACACTTCTTACTTTAATATTATTATTATTATTTTCTACTTGGTATTATTATTATTTATTTTATTTTATTAGAGGCGCAAACTAGCTGCTGTGGTCTCTGGCAGAATGACCAGCGCTGTGGAACTTTTTGCTCCTCAGCATAATGCTGAGCCAGGGCCAATTACAACCACAGTACACACACATTGCACACTGGAAGCGAACCGAATGGCAAAAGGGAATTTTTTAATTTTAATTTTTATTGTTTTTGATGTCTTATTTTATTGTTTTCTTTAAGTATTGTTATTTTGTGTGTTTATGTGTGTGTGTTTTCGTTTGTAATAAATGTTATGTCTATGTCTATGTCTATATTTTAGGGTGAGATCCCAATATCCAATACATTTTTGACGTACGGGAGTCAGATTCTTTGAAGTCTCGTTTCTGAATCTTATATTAGTATCCCTACAGCTAGTTATAAAATAATAACAATATATAGCCAAAAAAGGAATAAATATTTAAAACAAAAACCTGTATAGGTTCCTGAATCTGCCTCCAAAAAGCCATTGGTGCAGAGTTGAAAAAATCACGCCAAGCCACCAACACTTAGTAGGAGAGCTGGCACCAATTTTTGGGCAGGTATTTGAGGCAAGCTGAAAACTTGTCACATACCTCTCCTATTATATTCCAACACGGAATTGCAGACCTGGCTGGTGAGCAGCGGGGCTAAATCAACCCCTACATTTTTTTAAATATTAATTTTTTTTCCCCAAAAATATATTTGAGGCAATACGCAATTTATATATGTTGCAGTGTAATACTTAATAAATACATATACTTAATAATAACATTACCAGACGCGTGCAAATATTTTTTCAAAAAATTATAAAAAATGTTTTTGAGGCAGCTTGAAATTTTAATGGAGTGTTATTTATAACTATAAAATAAAATTCCCAAAAACACAGATCATTTTGGTAGGGCTTTCTACCTGCCAGGCGATCAAACAAATAATGGATGGGTACGGGCCTGTACTACTATAGACAAGCTGTAGTGTGAGAGAGAGCGCATATCGACAGCTGTCTTCGTTCTTGCTTGCCGCGTTACTATTGGCTTTAGCGAGGCCACGTGACTTACAATAACCTATGAGGTTTCTAGTTTATAAATTGCGTATTGCCTCAAATATATTTTTGGGGAAAAAAAATTAATATTTAAAAAAATGTAGGGGTTGATTTAGCCCCGCTGCTCACCAGCCAGGTCTGCAATTCCGTGTTGGAATATAATAGGAGAGGTATGTGACAAGTTTTCAGCTTGCCTCAAATACCTGCCCAAAAATTGGTGCCAGCTCTCGGACCAACTGTTTTAAAGGCATATTTAATTTCTTCACAAATTCAATACAAATTCTTCAGACCTATCAAAGCGTTTTTCAAATTTTTGTATAACGCCTGTGTAATTTATTGTACTATACAATAATTTTATTCTATTTTAGTCGAGTTCTTCATTACTTAAGGTGTTGGTGATGGTGTTGGTATTGCAATCCCCCTAGTCTTTAACAAGACTTACCGCCTGTGCCGCGTGTACTAAGGCTTGTAAGGCCCTTAACTTGGTTGGTCCAGCGAGTAGGGGATCGGGGTCTCAGGGTTATTGCCTTCCATTCTCCCGGTCACCACAAGCTTCGCCAAGACTGCGAGCTACACGTCCAAAGAAGCTCAGGGTCCTTGACACTAAACACTGAAAAAAACGGTGTCGCTGTTGTTGGTTGCCTGAGAATTGACAAATTCATTCACAGACATTCACAGACATTTAACCTCCTCCTTTCGCATGCTCGCACAGTCCAAGTTTCTTCGCCATTTAAGAAAATGGGAACCACTAATGTATCAACCAATATTTTTTCAGTTTTACATTAAAAATTGTATATCGATAATTATTTGCAGGCGTCAACAAATATCATTCCTATTGAAAGATTATGCAATATCAAAGGACTTCATATAGCATAAGTAAGCGGAGGATAAAACCATGTGGATGCAGCTAGTCGACGTATACGTACGAAGAGCTAATTAATACTGCGAAGAAGAGGTAATATATAATTATATATACGACTTTACTGTTTCTTTTTTGAGAGAATATGTTTAGTTTTACTTTCCTAACTAGTAGACTCGGCCAAGCGTTGCTGTGGCTAAGATTTTTGTTATATTACCTTGTAGTAAACTATTCAAGAGAAACGGCAGGAGAACACCAATCCACCATGCTTTTTTGGTGGTTATGCCATTAAATTGTAGCTTATGTGAAACGTTGGTATTTATTTTGATAAGGATCAATACCTAGGTACGAATAAAGAGCCTTTTCTAGCGTTGGTATTTTAATAAAAAAAAAATTAATAAAAGGACGCTTATGTGACGTAACTATAAAAGATAGAGACATGCTGTCGTGACATTTTTTATAGATAGTGATGTGTCTTGAAAAATTGTAATACATCATTTTGTTCTATCATTAATAGTTTTCGCAGCGCACGCGATTGAAGGAAGTTTTTTGATTAATTTTTTACACCTTGGGTTAGATTATTCAAGTTTTAGTAAGCATCCCTATGTCACTCGGGAATAGTGTAGCTTGCCAACGGTGAAAGAGTTTTTGAAATCGGTCCAGTAGTTTTGGAGCCTATTCATTTCAAACAAACAAAAAATCAAATCTTTCCTCTTTATAATATTAGCATAGAAAAGTTGTAGCAATCCAAGGCGATATTTTTCCTATAGTATCTTTCAATATTGGGTGCAATGTCTTAACCCCAACTTAACTTTAAGGCTAGTACAACGTACTTATACATACTATTCTATTACTTAAATCTTAAACAAAATAAATCTTCAATTCGCAGTTACATAGTCAAATGTATATTACAATTTTGCCATCTATATTCATTTTGTTCATTAATTTGTTGACAATCGCAAGCTTACGATTGTCAACTCTGAGGTCGTCCGTTCAAAACTCGGCTAATAGATTTTATCTGCTGGTTACGGTAAATGTAATAAAAATCTTGCTTTGGTAGGTAAGTATTTATTATTTATATACATTCACAAATATAATAAATATATAAAGTGTTTAGGGTTCTCAGTATGGATACATATAGATTCATAACAACCGCAATCATAAATAACATCTATATAACAAGACTAGTGAGCAAGCCATATGCTTTTTTCACAACTGGAGTAATGTCTTCAACGGGTTTATTGTTAATGACTAGCCAAACGCTCCCACTGTCACCGCGCTTGCAAGCCTCTATCAAACCCGTTGCTGCAGAATTGGCACTAAAAAGGAATTATTTATTTTAAACCTATATATTAATGCATACGAAATAGTCGAGATATCGCTGTCGCTATTGACAGTTACAAAGTAAGATAAAGGTTATGATTTCGCTAAAGCAAGACTGAAATATTGCTTCGAACCTAACCTATATGTCAATAACAAATTTCGTTAAGTTGTTCTAGATATTACCACATGATTAACATGTTATTGTATCTGTAATGTACATAGGTTCATACAGACAAAACAATGTTTTCCACTAGAAAACTTAGTAGAAACACTAGTAGTAGAAATAATAATATACTGATAGATTTAAAGAATACAATCTAATTACAATTGAAATGATAAAGTTTAAGCTTAGTCACCTTTGAAGAGGAAATAGATTAATGGAGTCATATAGTTCGTCCGTCAATTCTTCGTCAAACGGTTTCATTTTCTCTTTACTCAGTAGACTTGTGTCCGTAGGACCGAAGCACATGGTCATCACCTTAACACCAGTTTTCTCATAGTTTTCTTGAGCCTGTAACGAATGAGACGTTAGATAATAAATTGTATGAGCAATGTTGGTTTAGACTCTTAAGCGTGCGCCTCTCATCTCTGACAACCCTTTGAATAAAGGCTGTGCAGGAAAAATTTTTTTTTTTCTATGTGTGCAAGGAGCAATTGCTTGTGAAGGAAAATATCGTGAGGATATTATACCAGCAAGCCTTTACCTATAAATCGAAGACGTATGTCAGGCACAGAAAGCTCACCTGTTGAGAAACAAAAAATCATCGCGTATTGGATATAGAAATGCTGAGAGGCTTGAAGTTAGTGCCAATGGTTTGTCAAGAAATTCATATTAAGTAGATACATAGAGAGAGTAGTAATCTCATAGAGGCTCTTCATTCATGCACTTGGGCGTAAACTGTTGTACTTTTATAATGAGAAACCTTAAAGAAGTGTCCATCTAAATGTGCGCATTTAACATTCGCTTGAACGGTGAAGAAAAACATCGTGAGGAAACCGGGTTGCCCATAGACCCAAAATGTCGACAGCATATGTCAGGCATAGGAGGCTGATCACCTACTTGTTTTTTAAATTGACAAATGATCATGTAACGGATACATAAATCTGAGGCCCAGACCTAAAAAGGTTGCAGCGCTACTGATCTATAATAAAGAAAGAAAATCAAGACTATTAGTAGTAGTAAAAATACAATTAATAGATCCCATTGACAATTTTCACAAGAGACTGCCGTTTTGTGTAACGCTGTTATGCGAAAAGAAAGGAAAATATCTATCTAGTAATAGGAAAAATACCCAGCGCGGTCCATCCCCTGCCCTGCCGTACTTACCATTTTGACCTCTCGGTCGATTTGTCGATATTGCCGAAATTGGTTACGTAACTTGCCAACGCGCAGGTGGCGATATCTTATGCGTGCGTATTAATTTTAATAAATCCTACCGAACAAGCACGCCAATGCGCGGCGTTGACGTTTTTCACCGATGTCTAGTATGAATGAATTTGCAATTGTGTTAATTCATCAATTTTTCTCAATTTGTTTGTATGAGGTCATTTCAGTTATCAAACACGTTACCGCTGATAACATACCGGTTACTTAATAAAAACTTTACATATCTGGTACGATAATGTGTATTTTTGATAATGATAAATTAAATGTGTTTTTCCCTAAAATTAATGTAATTTACTTTTAAAACTAAATATATTTAGTTATAATTTTCATCGACTTCATTTAAAGATTACCAATGCATCGTTTAAATTTTTCCCATAATTACAAATTATTCGAAGACTCGATTTAGTATTAAATAGCATACTGGTCATGACTGTCAGGCCAGGATAAATCTGCGTTTTTAGAAAAAACGAGGGAATATTTTGAATTTTAGCGACATTTGATGGGATTTATATATTTTTAGAGTATTTGTATGCTGTCGAAAAGCACAATTTTGTAATGTCGATTTGATGATCAATTTTATAAACTAAAAATTTCACATTTTTATAAATTTCAGAAATATTATAAAAGGAAATGTAATTTTAATCGATTTAACAAAGGCCAATATTTGACCGGAACTATTTCCTATTAATAACAACGTTTAAATTACGCCTAAAACTTAATTGAGTCGATCGGTATCATTTTTCTGTGTCTATGTTATGATAACCATGTTGATTTTTGACATGCCTCTTTTAAGATTGTAGCTCTTGTTAATCTGCGCGGAGATAATCACACCAGGGTCGGGTCGCGAACTTCTACGAGTCGTTTAGAAACTACATTTTTCTGTATCTGTTTCACGAACATTTGTCAATCTAATATGCGACCATAGAAATAAAGTCCAATGGTGCACAGCCGGAAATCAAACCTATGACCTCAGGGCTGAAGCCAACACTGCGCTGCTCTTAGAAAACACTAACAACAGCTTTAAGAACTTACTCCGATGCAAATACTAAATTGCAGGACTGCGCTTTTAGTTGCACAGTAGACGGGTAGGACTGGATTCTGAATTAATGCCGCAATGGAAGATATGTTCATAATTATCCCACCTCTGCCTGAACGGTCCGTGCGCATGAGTTCTCTAGCCTTTAACGTATTTGTTATTAAGGCATTCTGAAAAATCACATATATATGGTATACATTTAAGTTGTTGAGGACTTTAGTTTAGTTTAGTTACAATTAATTACAAATTTAAATAAATTCATCGTTGATGAAAAGATTTCTATAACTTGTTGATTTGGCATTCCAGTATTCCTCAGAAAAGAATTGTTTTTTGTTATTAAAATATAATATCATTTAGGTCTGTTGGGCATTCTTGATCTATCTAAGAAAAGTTTTTATGTAACAGTATTTATGGCCAGACTAGTTATACTCACAATATTGACATTGAGCGCTGTCCTATATACATCAGGACTATCATTCATTATACCCGCATTATTTATCACAACATCTATAAACCCATGGTCATGAATGATTGTCTTATAGATATCAAATAGTTCTTCATCATTCCTGACATCACATTTGACAAATTTAACGCGTCCTTTGAATTTTGTTTCCAATTCTTTTTCCAATTGTTTTCCCGCGTTCACGTTTACATCTGTTATGGTGACGTGCTAAAATGTTTAAAGGTTTGCAAAAAAATATTTTACTAATAAATAAAAATGAATATAGGAAATCTAAAACTATAATCCCTGAAACTATAATGCAAGAATTAATTTATTTAAAAATTTTAAGCTTGTATGAAAGGTCTTGTAATTGAAATAGAATTGGGTTTTATTTTTAATAAACAATTTTTTGTGAATGTTTCGATTAAAATAGACAAATAAGTTATGACGTAAAAACTATAACGCGTTAAAACACACACCTTAGCCCCTTCTTCGAGGAATAATTTAACAACCGTAGCTCCAATACCAGTCGCACCACCAGTGACAAAAACAATTTTATCGTTTAAATTGTACATTATTAAAACACGTCTTATTCTTTCGGAAAATATTAACGTCTGATATAATATATTTTAATATCGATAAAGTCCGATGTAAGTAACAATTTATTGCAAATCATTCTATGAAATAATATTAAACTAAAATACATAAAGTGATTATTATATGAACACTAGTAGACGGCGACTTTGTCCGTGTGGTATAGTTTGGACAGCATTTTTATTTTTTTAGGAGATATACTTTTATTTTTTTACCATAAATAGTAACCTTTGCTTCCAAGGTCTCTATACACAATTTTATTTAAATTTTCTTTCGCATTTTGCCCAATTTTTGTAGGTATTCTAAAAATTTTTACGACGACATCGTTGCTGTTTGATACGTTTTCGTAATTGTTACTCTATAATTTTTTTATTAGTATAGTTCACTTATGTTGAACACATGAGAATGTAAGTGTGTGCTCCTATTTCACCATGCCTCCTGCTGATAGAGGACAAATCTTTGGAAAATGAAACATCTGATATATATATATATATATCTGAAAATATATATCAGATGTTACACCGGACTCTTATTGTAATTACGAACCAATTTATTGCAAAAAAATACCTACAGTGATTATTAAGTACATATGAATACTAGTTCCCACTACTTTGTCCGCGTGGTATAGTTGCTTAGGACAGCATTTTTAATTATTATGAGATTAATTTTAACGATGATGAACTTACAAAAAATCTTTTTTGTTACCAAAAGGGTAGGTTTGTTTCCGAGGTAAATTGGATCTCTATACCAAATTTTATTTAAATCGTTGCAGTGGTTTTAGCGTGAAAGTTAGCGACCTGCAGACAGATTTTCTTTCGCATTTTACCCAATATTTGTAGGTATTCTGGAGAATTGTATTAAGGCGTCGTAACTGTTTGATACGACTTCGTAATTGTACTATTATTGTTTTATTACTTTAGTTCAAAGTTAAAAATTTTTTTGAAATTTTACAGGATAATGCAATTGTTATTTCTAGTTGTTAGTCCCTTGGGTTGGGGAACGTCAGGGAATGCTGTTACGCATATCACTTGGCATTTTGCTTGTGCAGGGATTATGTGGGACTCTACTCACTGAAACCTGACTGATGCTTTCAGATCCCCAATGAGCAGAGGTAGGTAGCAGATAAGCCACCTGAGGTGTTTTTAGTGGGTAGGGGGCTCGCTACTCCCTTGAATAGCAGAGGGCTTTAAGTGTACAGCCCGTTCAGTCGATATGCCAGCCAGCCCCACAGTCTCCGCGTGAAGTCCGCCATCCGTAGCGCAAGCACGCGGAAGCGCAGTTTCACCGCCTTCACAAAAGACTTGTGGCTAATCCACGGCAAAAATATCAAAAAATACAGAGAATTAAGTTTTTCCATGTTTGAGACTATTTTATTTTCTTTGTTAAAATATAAATATTTTATGAAAATTATAATTCTATTTTATCACCGTAAATCTTATTGCCTTGACCTTGACGGTTGATAAAAATATTTTTATCACCAAAGTATTTGCAATTTTTTATCTATTTATAAATACTCAAAGTCAAAAATCATAATATACTGCTCAAAACAATTAGTGGAACAAGATTTTTCTCCTTTCTATTGCTTAAACTAAAATTAGATTTAAATTAACTTGTACGCTATTTTTTACCTTGTTAATTTGTTAATTACTACAATTAAAAAAAAAATTCAATTTTAATTTTTTTTAATAAAAAAAATTAAAATGTGCATTGTAGACGAAAAACTAATTGGTGATAAAAAAAGGTCCATCAAAGAAATATTCTTATATCGTTTGAATATTCGTCTTTAGTGACTTTCAGTAACGTGTGTGGCCTCCATGAGCCCTAATCACGGCTTGACAACGACGCGGCATGCTTCGTATGATCCTCCGAATATCTTCTTGTGGAATTCGATCCCATTCTTCAATCAACGCTTCAGTGAGCTGATGCAGTGTTTGAGGTGCAATCGGACGCTTCCGGATGCGCCTGTCAAGCAAGTCCAAATGTGTTCAATTGGATTTAGGTCAGGGCTCATGGAAGGCCACTCCATTACACGGATTTCCTGCTGTCGTAAGTAATCTGACATGATGGCTGCAGTATGCGGCCTGGCATTATCTTGCATTAAAATAAAATCTGGACCCATACCATATGCTGCGGGCCAAACATGATCTTCGAGCACATTTTCAATGTAAGTTTGAGCACACAAGCGCCCGGGAACAACGACGAGATCTGTGCGCTCGTCCAAACTAACTCCGCCCCAAACCATCACAGAGCCACATCCAAATTTGTCATATTCCTGGACTGCTGCTGCACTGTATCGCTCGCCTGGGCGTCTGTAAACACGGAGACGACCATCGCAACGTGTTAGACGGAATCGTGATTCGTCAGTAAAAAGCACTGGCCTCCAATGTCGAAGTTGCAAATTAGCGTGATTTTGCGCGAACTGTCGGCGAGCTTGTCTATGTTGAATTGTTAGACGCACAGCCCGAACTGGTCGGCGTGATCTCAAATTAGCTTCCAACAACCTATTTCTTACCGTCTGGTCGGAAATTTCTACACCAGTAGCCGTCCTTAGTGTATTTTGTAGATCTCTTGCAGTTGTGGTGGTCACGGTATCGCTTCCAAAGTCTGTAGATAACAGAAGGGGCTACTCCTAGATCATTTCCTACATAACGCATAGTTCGACCCTCTTCAAGCAAAGCGATAGCTCGGGAGACATGCAATTCAGTCAGATCTGTCATTATGTCCTAAACTCACTCGCTTCAATGAATAACAATACTCAAAAGGCTCACTTCAATTTCTATTAATACTCAAAAGATTGAAAAATACTACTTAAAATGTGTTTTCTGTGATTAGAAAGTAATGAAAATTCAAAGACGTCACTTTGTTTTTAGGTGTTTCTAGACACACTGCCACTTTATTATAGGACTACTAACCAAAACGCCGATGCTCTTTTGTTTTTTAATTTCTTCGACAATGCCTTAACATTATCTAGTGGCCAGTAATAATTAAAACCTTAAGTAAAAAGTTTAGTTCTACTTTAAAGTTTTGTTCCCGTAATTGTTTTGAGCAGTATATATTCATGTAGGTAACACAATGTACACCTATGAAAGTCAGAAAAGAAATATACATCAAATGCTTCTAATTTTACATTTACTGCCAGTTCTCAAATCAAGGGCGTAGATCGGAAGAGAAGAATAGGCAATAAACTCTCCGCCACTCTTTTTAATCGCCAAGTTTTTTGTTTTACACAACGTTTGTAAGGAGCTGCAACCATTGCACCATGTTCCACATGACATCTTAAGTAATTAATAATAATAGCAAAAACAAAGATTTGTCCTCTATCAGCAGGAGGCATTGTGAAATAGGAGCACGCACTTACATTCTCGTGGTACTATTATCATTAAACTTTTGACGTTACTTTATTTACTTAAGTCGGAGATATTTTGTATAGAACACGGGGCTAACAAAGCGTTTTTCAAATTTCTGTATAACGCCTGTGTAATTTTATTTTACTATACAAAAATTGTATCCTTGTTCGAGTCTTTATTGCTACAAGTGTACTAACAGTATTGCATATCATGGTCCAATCCTTCTGGTCTTTGGCAAGACCTACCGCGTGTGTACTAAGGCCTGTACGGACCTTAGCTTGATCGGACCAGCGAGTAGGGGATCGGGGTCTCAGGGTTATTGCCTTCCATTCTCCCGTCGTCCGCTATACGTCCAAAAAAGCTCAGGGTCCTTGACACTAAACACTGAAAAAAACGATTTGTTGCTGTTGTTGGTTGCCTGAAATTGACAAATTCGTCCTTTTCACTGTCCAGGGAATCCTGAGCAACTGCATCCGACACCACATTTTAAGGTCATCTATCCTTCTCCTTTCGGATGCTCGCACAGACCAAGTTTCTTCGCCATACTAGAAAACGGGAAACACTAAAAAAAAATTATATCGATAATTATTTGCAGGCGCCAACAAATATTATTTATATTGAAAGTGGTGGAAAGATTCTGCAATATCAAAGGACTTCATACAGCATAAGTAAGCGGAGCATAAAATCATGTGGTTTTATCGTATACATATCACGAGCTATTTTTAGAAGTAATATGTTTTGTTTTACTTGCCAAAAATATTTAGCAATCCAAGTCGATTTTCCTACAATCTCTTTATAAGCTACCTTACTAAATAAGTAAATATCGGGTACAATATCTTAACCCTAACTTAACTTTAACATATAATTGATGTAGTTCTTTATTGTAAGTAAGTTATATAATAAATTAATTTATGCGCTGTGAAAATTATGTTATACGAAACTTGATATTGAAACCGCGATACTTAAGCTGCAGGACAATTTTGACTCTAAATCAAACTTTACCGCCTTCATCCATTTTTTTGTGAATTTAGTTTTTTCTTCATTTTTCGTATTTAACACAGGTTAAATGAAGTTAAAGTATTTAGTAATGTAAAATCATAGACTCACTTTTCAAAAGATATTATGCTTTATAATTGTTAGATTAAGCTTATTTAATACTTGATACTTTTGTTAACTGATAAGGACACGACCTAAATATAGAATAACTATTGTCTATTAACAAATTCTTATTCGTTCGTTCGCTTAGAAAATTTACAGGTAATATACATAATTATAATTTTTTTTAAGCAATGGGTCAAGCAGCTAGGAGACTCACCAGATGTTAAGGGATACCGCCGCCCATCGACAGATAGATAGTTAGTTTGGATATAGCGAAAGCCTTCGATTGGGTGAGGCATAAAGCGCTTCGCGCAAAATAAAATATATGAATTTGTAAAACAGTGTAAGTGGTTATTCTCAAAATAAAAATATCTTTTATCAGATGGACGTAATATTGTAAGGTATCATGTCGCCCGTCAACCCCTGTTGGACTAGAGAGACTGTTGTCCAATGACAATCGAAAGGAACGTGCCGTCGCGGTTTCTTCTTACGCCGCCCTGATCCACTTGATGGGATCACTTGTTACCGTCCAATGCAAGTACGCTAAAGGTGAGATTCAGACGCGCCACTTAGAACGAACTAAGACTACTTCCTATATGTCAAAATTCAATGCAATTTTGACGTACGGGACCCATTCGCATACTCTCTTTGTATATAACAATTTGCTTAAGTTTTTAAGTATTTTATTATTTAATATTCGAGTAAAAAAAGGTAAATTCCTCTCTCCTTGCATATTACATCTATTGAATTAAAATAAGAACTTAACACATTTCATTTTCTACTATTTAAACTTTGCTATGATCATGATAGTTTCATTCGATAAATCTCGTAACAATTCTTAAATGAGTAATTTTGTTGATATCTGTGTTGCATTGTACTTTAAACTGTTCATACTTCAATAGAGTACGACGTTTGATAAGAACGTTATGATAAAATAACTTAATTTATGTAAAACTGTTTTTTTTTCTTCATGGAGCAGTAGGCCTCATAATTCAAAAACTAATTTTCTAAAAGTGTGCGATCCCATATCTTGGAATTATTAATTATTAAAGGAATTTTACAGAGTTTGTTTTTAGAAAGATACGTATAGTATATTGCTTTCCAATGTAATTTTGGCACGATCTAATTGATGAAATACCTCAAATGGGTAATTTTGTTAGGCATGTATTTATCTAATGTATGGAACTACATACATAATCATAAAACAGATGAGTATCTATGTATAATTTCTCGTGTACCAGTGAGTATAGCCTTACTCCACCGTATCTTTAAGTAGTAATACAATTTGGTAGTGGTTTAATGTGGTTTAGTACTTATGCTGTAAATATTAGGCCCTTACATATGAAATTGGCGTTTTGTATGGAAGGAACAAAAAGTCGAATATTTTTAAATATAATATATTTAATTAATCAAAGTATGAACCATTGTTTTCTATGCACTTTTGCCATCTCATAGGTAGTTCATTGATCCCTTTACTAAAAAAACCAGTCGGACGGGAATCAATAAAATCTGTGAAGGCGATTTGGACTGCCCCATCAGAGTTAAATTTTTTCCCTTGCAAGAAGTTGTCCAAATTTCGAAAAAAATGGTAATCTGTTGGAGCAAGGTACGGGGAGTACGGAGGATATTTTAGACATTCCAATTGAAGCTCTTCTAATTTGGTAGCCGTCTGTTGTGCAGTGTGTGGTCTAGCGTTGTCGTGAAGTAGCAGTGGCGTGGAGCGATTGACCAGCCTAGGTTGTTTAGCCGCTAGCTTTTCCATCATGGTTTGCAATTGCTGACAATAGACATCAGCCGTAATAGTCTGGCCAGATTTGTCATTTGAGAAAACTGCAAAGAACAATACCGGCACTAGTCCACCAAACGCTTACAAGTAACTTTTTTGGGGTTAATTTTCGCTTGGGGCAGGATTTGGCTGGCTGGCCAGGATCCAACCATTGCGCTGAGCGCTTCGTAAAGAATCCATTTTTCATCACAGATAATGATTCGGTTTAAAATACCTTCATTATTGTGCCGGTTCAGTAATGTAACGCAGCAGTCGACGCGCGTTTGCCGGTTTGCTTCAGTCAATTCGTGAGGAAAACACCGCAGCCTGCAGCTAACTCGGACGTGGTTTGCAATGGATCCGCTTCCACAATAGCCTTCAATACTTAATTATCAACTTGGGTCTCAGGCCGTCCACGGGGCTTGTTCTGCAGGTCGAAATTTCCAGAACGAAAACGTTGGAACCAAAAACGAACTGTGTTTTCTTTTGCAACATGCCCGCCATACACATCATTCACCCTTCGAGTCGTTTCCGCAGCACTAGTGCCACGGCGGAACTCGTACTCGTAAATAATGCGATACTTTAAGTTTTCCATTTTGTAAAATGAGTGACGCAAACAGAAAAAAACAGAAGAAAAAAACAAATGAGTGACGGTCATCGAAGCACAAATACATGAGTAAATAGCTGTACAAATTTTAATTTGGAATTCTTAACCAAAGAGGAGATATTTGAGGTCAAAGTGGCCAAAACGTAAAACGCCAATTTCATATGTAAGGACCTAATAAATGAATCTGCAAATATGCCGTAAACTATTTTTGTACCCCTGAGTGACCAATTATACATAAAATATACATTTTGTGTATTTTATTTATAATTTGCCATTAAAAAATAAACGTCCCTAACTTTTAATTTTCTTGACGGCAAAACAGCGTTGCCGGGTCAGCCAATAATCTGGTATATTGCTATAATGATATTGCTATCACTATCAACCAGTTGACAATGTTTAGGCAGTTTTATTTTGAATTTTATAAGAGTGTATGAAGTTTGTATAATGTTCCTTCTGGGATGGTCTTCCAATGAAGGATGTAAGCCTTTTTAGTTAACAACATACACATATAACTTTTTTTTTTATAGAGCGGGGGGCAAACGGGCAGGAGGCTCACCTATTTAGTGATACATGGACACTCTCAAAGTAAGAGGGCTTGCGAGTGCGTTGCCAGCCTTTTGAGAATTGGTACGCTATTTTCATGAAGGAACCTAAGTTAAATTGGTTCCGAAATACTTCAGTGGGCCGCTGGTTGTTAATCAACCTCCAAGAACTCCATCAATACCGAGTTTAACGCACTATAAGCAGTATTACAGCTAGACTCAAATAAAACACCTTTAATAGCGTTTTGAGACTTGACTATAGATAAAAGCATAGGACTTTGTTTACGGAATAAAATACCGGTAAAAAAATCGTGCATTTACAGCTTTTAACCGACTTTTATTAGAAAGTTATCAGTTTTACCTGTAGGTATGTGCAATTTTTCGAAAACTAAATGTCATGCGAATGTACTAGTTATAATCAGACATTTAAGTTATATAATCTGTTCAGTAATTTTAATATATAATCATTATTATTATTATACACGCAATTAAACTATACTGGTACGGCGAAGGAAAGTATCGACCACGTAAATAAAGAAAAATTATCAATGAGTCCGATCCATGGTATAGGTACTATTATATCACATACCATACAGCCCTGCGATTCTGTAACTCACTTTTCGAACTCACACAGCGGTTTTCGCATCGGCGGTCGCTCTCAAATCAGTCGTGAAGCAGTCATTTTATGATTTGGCATTCTGATAAACAATAAACTACAAGCTCTCACCTTTTTAGAAGGCCAAATCATAAAATGACTGCTTCACGACTGATTTGAGAGCGACCGCCGATGCGAAAACCGCTGTGTGAGTTCGAAAAGTGAGTTACAGAATCGCAAGGCAGTATTAAAAAGTACATAAAATCTGTATACCCATTACGTAATAAATGCAATTGTCTAAATTATTCGTAATTTTATATTGAATTCATTTACGTTAATCACATTTAGCGGAAACGGATGTTGTAGAAACTGTTTATTGACCTAGGTCATGTGAAAGTGAATTCGCGAATGTTGATCGTGTGTTTTGTTAAAAATATTTTGTTCCTTTATTTAGGCATTTTTTTTGATTCCACAATGTTTATGATTACGAAATCCATTACGAATATATTAACCTAATATCCAATAATGTACCTAATTCGTTAATTGAGTTGAATGGAATGGGATCTCCGTTAGGTGATTGATTATCCATTGCTATTTAACAAAATATAATTTGACAAATCAAATTATTCATATTTTGCATGTATAGTACACAGTATAGGAAGTCTTCCATGAGCTTTATTGAAATTACCCAATTGAAATGCTGAACAATTTAGGTTTATAATTAGAATTTTATTTTCGTTCCAGGACGAGAATATAATACGGTGGCTTTTGACACTTCAAAAGGCTCCCAATAGGGTATTTTCTCAAATCAAAGTACGAGAACATCTGGCTGCTAATTCTCCGCCACTATTGTTTATAGATAAGACTGTTTGTCATACCGTATAACAAAGGGTAATATAAATTATTCAAACACAACGCAAAGTCAAAAAGGATTGCCCGATTTGATAAATAGGAGTTCAAAAACGACGTAGATAAGAATTAATTTAAATAAATTCAAGCATAAGCTGCATTGAATCAGTCGCTTGTTATTAGTGGCACGGTGCAGTCATGTTTGATGTGAAAGATAAAATATTTTTGGTAACTGGCGCAGCGGCGGGAATCGGCGAAGGCGTCGCTCGTGGCTTAGCAGAGAAAGGGGCAAAGGTACCAGAATTTAAATATTTGGAAGAGTTGCAGTTAGTTATTAATATAGGAATGATCCCTCTTCATAGATAAATCGGATGATAACTATTGTAAAGGAAGTTTGTGTATCTATTGTATTTTTAGAAGCAAAATTGTTAGATCTATTTAGATTTTTGTCGTTGTACACAGCAAGTAAAAGTGTAATTACATTATTACTGTAAGCCTGTATACAATATTTATCTCTATCTTCCTTTAAATTTCTTCTGTACAAACATTACCTGTCCACATCGTATGCCTAACTTTCGTACTAACTACTAACTGACGTGAGAAAGATCTTATATTAATTCATTATGATTGATGTGCACTTGTTTAGTTCAGTTTCTATTTTTCTTACTAATATGTATTTTTGCACTTTTTGCCTACCTCATCTAATTTAATACATTTTTTTCTTTTCTCACAGTGGTTGCCTGGAAGAGATCGCTCGAAAGCGACAAGGCCGCCAGTTGCCCTCCTTTATATTAATTATCTTACATTTTTATAATGTAATGCAACGAAGTGTAAATAAATAGATAAATAAATATTTAGTTTAGCTAAAGTTATCTTTTATTAGATTCAAAAAACGCATAATAAGCACTTTATAAACACTACCTACATTAAGTATTATATTATTATTATATTTACATAATATTTATTGGTGAATAATTTTTCAGCACATAGCAATTTTGGATATTGATGTGAAAAATGGAAATGCACTAGAAGCGGAAATAAATTGCAAATATGGATCTGATATAGCGAAGTTTCATAAATGCGATGTTACAACAGCTGAGTTGGATGCAGCCTTCGATGCAACTATTAAACAATTTGGTTACATTGACGTTGTAATCAACAATGCTGGTATTATGAATGACGGACCCGATTTCTATTTGAAAGCATTAGAAGTTAATGTTGTAAGTATCTGATTTTCATAGCTTTTAGCGGCTTCAGTGTGATATAGAGCGATATTTATATATATTCCGACCGATTTAGACCGATTTGGCTAATTTTGATCTTGATATATTTCATTGATATATTCAGGGAAAGTTTAAACGGTGGGAAACATGCATAATACACAATAAAAAAACCAAAAGTTTGATTTTTCAATACAATTCCTTTCTAGCTTCAAAACATTTGATCTCTTTTGTGTTTAAAAATTAAAAATTATATGTAAATCTTCGGTTCGCGTGTTTGTAGATAAAAAAAAAGGTGTCAAATTGTTTTTTTTTGGATTCGAGAATGGTTTATGTTTACAATTAGATTATTATTTTGTATTTAAGACGTGTGTACATTGCCTGTCGGGTCCGTAAGTTTATAAAATAACATAAAAGCAAAAACGTTGTTTCTTTGGTAATCGAAGTTGAATTCCAAACAAGTCTTATTAAGACTTGGACGTCAAGTTTACGGTATTTTCGACCTCTAGGCTCAAGTTAGACGTCTTACACTTACCACTAGGTTACAAACACCGGTCACTGATGCGTTTAATTGTCACAATTATTAAAGTAGAATTTATGTATCTCTCATGACGTTTAGCGTTAAGAGATTTTTGGGTTGAAGTCAATTGTCATTCAACATTAAATTTGAAATACAATAATAATTAAATGCGTCTTAAATCTTAGATGATATATATATATATATATATCATCTAGGATTTGTTCCTGAATAATTTAGATATTTCTTGTTATAAATACGATGTGGTAAAAATTGTATAGTGAAATTTCAACGAATAGAATATTTTATATAATGAAACATGCAATTTAATTTGCTTCATGAAAAGGCATAAATTATTTTTTATTGTTTGTTGTAAAATTTATCATTTGTTTTTGTCCTTCAAGCATAATACGTAAGCATTATGCAAGCCATTAAAACCATAACTGCTGTAATTTTATATATGCCTATCAACAGGAAACAGTGATTATTATTTCGGGAACCGAAGAAAACCATAAGTTAATATACCAGCTAAAACCATTATTATAAAATACTCACATTTTCATTTTATGCGGTTTAGTTTGAGAATAAAATCTTATAACAGAGATAAACAAATAATATTTTTGAATCCAGCTTAGGCTACGTCTATATCAATTCAATGGGCTTGATATATTTCACAGTCAATTTAAATAAAATAATAAATAAAACTTTATTCAGGACAGAAATATGGTTGTGTCAAAATTGATCTAACGCTTGTACCCATACTTGGAAAAAAGTAATTCATGAAACAGGGAGCCCCTACTTCATGAATTACTTTTCTTTAAAGAAAAGTAAAGAGTTTTTAGTATTTTAACTGACTTACAATATTGTTTATATACACGGGTATATGTAGACAATAGTGCAAACCGTCTTTGTCACATGTAGAAGACACCAGCTTCAAATGTATTGATTTTTTTTAAATTTCGCGTCGCTTCCGATTACATATTATCACAGCTTACATTACATATTAATTGTAAAATATATTTTTTAGACTTCACTAATTAGAAGTTCACTAAAAGCTTACAACCTCATGCGCAAGGACAATGGAGGGAAAGGAGGCACCATAGTGAACATCTCATCTATAGTTGGTCTGATGCAATCTTCCTTGCTTCCGGTATACAGTGCAGCAAAATCAGCAGTGTTACAATTTAGTAACTGTCTGGGCGTAAGTTGATGAACATTGAGCATAATTATTCCATAATAATATCTAAGCTATAGTTTTCCATAACAAATGAACAAAACACAAAAAAAACGCGGTCGCAGGGCAAAAATAATACTCGTAAAAGGCAAAATATTGGTCTTTAAAGCAACTTTGATTTTGTTCCAAGCTTTGGAGAAGATACTCTTCAAGTGCACATGCGCTAATTAAAGATATAAATTGGTGCCTGGTACATATGTACCTATGTACTACGTATCATATTACAAGCTGTTGGTTCACCAGTAATATTACCGCATGTAATTTCCTTGCTCAACGAATAAGTAACGCAATACAACAAGGAAATGCTGCCAGCATTAAAGGTACACTGCCACAGGGACCAAACAGTTTTTCATTTATCCAAACGATTATTGTAAATAGTTTTTACATATGTAAATTAGTTTCATTAAATATAGAATATTTATTTTTAATTATTATATAGAATTTGTATTTCAGCGAGTTTAATTAATGTATGCTCTCAACACTATGTTGGTTTCAAACTCCGATAGATGTATCATTTAGATTGAGATATTCTTTTTTATAAAGTGCATAATTACCAATTAATATCGTTGCGTGTAATTACCCATTTTATTACTATTACCACTATTCTATTAACAGTGAATGAACTCTTAACCACCATTATTATTAGCGAGCATATACATTACACACACATTTCTCATTTATTACAAATATAAGATTAATTTGAGCAGTGTTGACCTAGTGGCTTCAGCGTGCGACTCTTATCCGTGAGGTCGTAGGTTCGATCACAGTGCACCAATGGAGTTTCTTTCTGTGTGAGCATTTAACATTCGCTCGAACGGTAAAAAAAAACATCGTGATTAAACCAAGTTGTCTTAGACCCAAAAAGTCGACGGCGTGTGTCAGGCACAGGAGGCCGATCAGCTACTTGCCTATCAGATTGAAAATTGATTATGAAACCGATTCAGAAATCTGAGGCCCAGACCTATAGAGGTTGTAGCGCCACTGATTTATTTTATTTATAAGATTTAGTTATACCCTCTTTCAATTACAGGCCGAACAAACATACAGTAGAACAGGAGTGCGCGTTGTCGCACTTTGCTTCGGAACCACAGACACAAACTTAATCAATGGCCACGTCGGTGCCATAGATGATGTAATAGAAAATATAATACCACAGGCACTATCTAGAATGCCTAAACAAGGGTAAGTTTATGAAATAACTGTTGAAAGACCTTGCTAAACTCAATATTATGTTATTTTTATTAATAATTTAATTTAATACATGTTATTTTTAGTATCTTTTTGTTAATTAATTATGCATATCTTGTACTTTACCGTCTGTAGGTGTTTCTTTTTTTCTATTGTTCCATTTTAGGGTTGCCTGGAAGAAATCGCTTGTTAGCGATAAGGCCGCCAGTTGCCTAATAACATATGTAACATACTTACTTTTTGGTTTTTTTCTAGATGTACAATTATGGCAATGAAGTATAAATAAATAAAATAAAATATTATATAATCAAATATGTATATAAAATTCTCGTGTGTTCACAATGTTCGTTCCCATACTCCTCCGAAACGGCTCGACCGATTCTTATGAAATTTTTTATGCATATTCCTTAAGTCTGGGAATCGGTCATCATCTTTTTCATCCCCCTAAATGTTAAGGGTGATCCACCCCTAAACTGAATTATTTATGTTTTGTTTTTATTTTTTTATGATACAGCATACAAAAATACATACAACCCTCAATTTTCACCCCTATTTTTTATTATTGTAGATCGTTATTTATTTATTTATTTATTAACACTTCGTTGCCTTTATGTATGAATATAGTACAATTGATATAATTAAATTAAAAGGAGAGCAACTGGCGGCCTTATCGCTTTCGAGCGATCTCTTCCAGGCAACCACTCATTATTATTGAACTAAAAAACTGTTTCCTAGAAATAATATACATGGCAAAATAAACGTTTGCCGGGTCAGCTAGTATTATATATTATTATTCTCTTTTCTCTTTCTGTAATAACGAGATCGCAGATATGAAACATATCTTTTTTAAATGCCAAAACCAAATTTTCATTTTTAATAGACTACTATTGGCAGGTGAAATATTGGAAGTTAGTGATCCCTCCCGCCGCCAGTTGTGTGATTTGTGCAAAAACAAGAAGTGATATAGTGCATTATATAAATGCGTTATAAATACCGTGGGGAAGATTTAAGAAAACTAGTGGAACGTTAGAATAACATGTGAAATTACATGTAGAAATTGAAAATTTGTGACAAAAAATAAAACTTAAGTGGTACCAGGCCATAAAATTAAAAAACAAACTGTTGAAAGACGTCACTCACTTTTTGAGTACCTGTAAAATGTTTATAAAAAAGACTAAGCTCTTCACTAAAACCTCCAAAGAATGTTTAAAAATTGTAATTAGAAGGAAGATAGATTAGAATTAGATTTTATTAAATAAAGATATATATGTCGCAACCTTAATAGCTAGGCTAGGCTGTTAAATGAAAACTTAATCAGCCGTTCAATTAACAGCCTAGCTGTTTAACTTGCGGCTATTTATTAGATATTCAGCCGTGGCGTTTGTTACAACATTTAAGAAACTGGCTGGCTAATGCTTAGGTCATTCGTACGATAGAGTCATTATTTGGCAGAAATTGAAAAGATTAAACATATCACGTAAAAAATGTTCCTTTTTAAATTAAATTGATTGAGTCAAATTCACATTATTATTGTCACTACACTCTTCCATTGTACTTGATGTTTTTCATGAAACTTTGGAAAACATCATCAAAGTTGTGGTTTGCCGACGCCATATTGAAAGTTTGAAGAGATTCGTTTCGAGTTTGAGAGTGGCAGAAAGTGGAATAAAATTTAAATTAACAGTCAACAGGCTAGGCAAGTAATGAAACGTCGTCGATCCAAGTCATTTGCCTAGCTGTTTGATCAATTTTCTGAACTTCTTTCAGGCCGCTACTTAAACGGCTCCATTTAGTTAAACGGCTAGACTGTTAATTGAACTGCTAATTAAGCTAGTTGGCTGCACATATACACTACTTTGTAATTGCTTAAACATTATAAGACATTGATCGAATGTTTGTTATTCAGTAATAATTATTTGCATGTTATCAATGTACAGCGATATTCATTGTATATCGTTAAGTTGGTAAAACGAGATATGAACGCATTACTTATAATTATTAACCGTATAAAGGTTTTATGTTACAAGCAGGAAAACGCAAATGAACGAATCATCGTGTTGCGTTATTTTTTGATTATGGTTAATGTTATCCTTTTAATTTACTGACAATAAAATTACCAAATAATTTGCATGACCACTGTTTCACCAATCTTCTGAATTGTTAACACGTTCACTGCGCCATCATTTTCAAAGAACTTTCAGCTGGTGCTTTGGAGACCTAAAAGATCTCTAAACAAGCCTATCCTTTGGTGCGTTTGAGATCTAATCAGTCTCCTAAAAATACAGTTTTGAAAATAATTTATATCTTCAAAAAAAAAGACATATATTTTGAAGTTTTTGTGGGTGAAAGATAGCTTTATATTTTGCTAGGTTCGCACGCAGTTACGACATTTGAATAAACTACAAATACCAAAAAAAAAATAGATATCGATTGTATCTCGTACCGCAACCGAAGATAGTTCAATATGTGTAGTAAGTAGTGATGGGAATAAAATAATATCTCAGTTATCGATTCTAAAAGTTTTATTAATTATGCAAAGTGTTTTTCATTAAAACATGGTAAGCACATAGATTGCTTGCACATTACGCGCAAAAGTATAACAATTCGTTTAGATTTTTTAGCAGCGTCAGTGCTGTTTAAATGCGTGTGCTCCAACGAAAAAGGTTCATCGTTGTCTTTGTAGGTACGTCAAATATTTCATAATCAGAATCACTGTAATTATCAGCCAATGGGGGGCAAATTTGGACATTTTCCAACATTTTTATGGACTTCCCATGTCGATTCTGAACAACACTAAAAAGAGTCCCTCTCTTGCGTCTACGAGGCGTACGATTTTACGAGTACCGACATATCTCCTAACGCAAGGAATTAAAACAATTAAAGTACTGTGCGTTAGGGACCTAATCCATCTCTAATTTATTTTTTAATGTCCTTTAACTCAGCTTTAAGTAAGAAGCAAATATGTATATTTGTCCTGCTCATACTTAAAGAACTTTACAAGTTAGATCCTCCCGCAAGGAGTGAAAAAACACGATTATGCTCAACGCACAATACAAAAGTCCTGCAAGAGATCTGATAGATCTCGTAATGCAGCAAACGTGTTAAAGTGTATTTTGAAATGAACTAAAATATAGTTTTGATTATATATCGAGTTTCGTTTTGAAGTTACTGATTTTTACACTGTTTAATTAGTTCAGTTGTATGCGATAGAGCAGTGTTGGCCCAGTGGCTTCAGCGTGCTACTCTCATCACTGAGGTCGTATCTTTGAGCCCGTCTGTGCGCCAATAGACTTTTTTTTTCTTTCTAAGGAAAACACCGTGAGCAGACCGGCTTGCTTTAGACACAAAAATGATGATGAAACAGATACATAAATTGAGCCACTGATTTTACAATTTTGTTATATATTTGAAATCGTTTCTGTGTATTATATAATAATACTGTTAGTTTAGGAAAATAATATTCAATAACTTTATTTACTTTTTTGTATATATTTTGTTCATTTAACAAATTACATTGGTTTATATAACAGTATGATTCACAGTTGAAAGTTATTTTACACGACGTGTAATACTTTTGTTACCTTCGTACAAAGGAAGATTTACTATTCACAGAAATACATTAATCTTATTCCAGGGTTGATGATGCTGTTAAAGGATTGCTTGTTGCGATTGAAGAAGGCCAAAGTGGAGACACCTGGCTGATTACTTCGGGAAAACCAGCAGAAAATATTACGCAGACTGTCAAAGATAGCTACGCAAATTTATCCAAAAGCATATTGAATTAGTTGACTATATTTAGGGTCTGTTTCACAATGTATGGATAAAGTACCAAATAGCTATGCAACACATAAATTATTTAGAAGATAAATTGTGCTATTTGACACTTCATCGGACTCATAACTTATGGACTTTATGTGACGAATAGCGCTATCTGACAGTCGTGAAACGCAACAATAGTGTTTATCCTACCAATAAGTAATAAATAGCTAATTTGGAACTTATGTAGAACTTATCCGTACATTGTGAAACAGACCCTTACTAAGACTAAACATTACGTTTTCTACTTGTGCTTTCTTTATTTAATATTATATTTATGTAAATGTTATGTTAATCATACTCTTTTAAAAACCTTATTTGTATAACAATTTAAGGGCTTCTATAATTATAACCTGTATTTTTCTTTAACATATCTTGCATTTGTGATGTGTCTGTAATGTTTCCTTATTGATAATTAAATAGATAAATGGTTAAAATGTACTGTTTCTCTGATGTTGTGACTAGGGGGAGCGCTGTAAGCCGGCACCTAATCGTTGTCGTTGATGAAGCAATAGCTGAGCGCGACTCCATCGCCAAGGTATAGCTAAACTCTAGTGTACATACTTTTATTTGTGTTTTTGTCATCATACTCACAAATACCAACCGTACCCCATCATACAACGCAAACCTATAAATAAGCTACCCAAAAACGCACTTCCTTCGCTCAACGCTTTTTCTAACAATTCAAAACTTTAAACATTCAATAACAATATTAAATAACATCTTCTCAAAATGTTCTATGCTGAAACGGAAAAAATGCTTAATGTGCAACAATAGATTAATTAAAAAATGTAAGTGATAGTGTAGAAATTATGTCATGTCACGTCAAAAGGAAGAGACTAGCCCACTATACGGCAATCCTAGTGAGGGGACTAATGCACTTCTTTTTAACAAAACGTCATTTTTTATTAATAGCAAAACAAAAAACCGATACCCTGAAGTTAGCTATAAGTTAACATTTTAGTGTTTTCTATTTCGTGTCGTTTTTTCTACAAACGAAGAAAACCTTTTATTGAAAAGATTTTTATCTTGTTACAACAAAGAAGTATAGGGTGTCTCAGTAAGAGTGCACTTTTTAAAATTGGAATATATTTTTTTTTCATGCATGTGGCAATTTGATAGCCGTCACCTCGGTTTATTCCGATTATTAAAAATGGAGCGCTTTTCGAAAGAACAACGCGTTATAATTTTGAAAACTCATAACAAAAATGGGGATAGTTACGCTGAAACCGCTCGCAAATTTCGCCAAATTTTCAGCTGAGAATGTGCACCTAATGTCAACCATTCGAAGAGTGGTCAAAAAATTTGAAGAAACTGGGTCAATTATGGATGATAAGAATACATTGCGTCAACGTACCCGTCGGTCTTTTGAAAACATTGCTGCTGTAAACGAAAGTGTCACCGAAATCCCGAAAACATCAATTCCACATCGTTCTTAACAACTTCACGAAGCACTAAGAAGCGAATTTTGACTAAAGACCTCCACCTTCATGCGTACAAGATTCAGTTAACTCAGGATTTCAAACCAGCAGACCACGGAAAGCGCCGGCAATTCGTTCAACGGGTAATGGAGCAAAGTGAAGTCGATGCCAATTTTTCGAAAAAAGTCATTTTTTCCGATGAAGCGCATTTCCATATGAATGGCTTTGTGAATACACAAAATTGTCGAATTTGGGACTCAGAAAATCCTCATGCAATGCATAACAAATGTACCCACAACGAGTGACTGTCTGGTGCGGATTTTGGAAATCCTACGAGTCATCGGTGAGATACAGCCACATCTCTGTGCAAAACTCATGGAAAATTTTATGAAAAGAGTAATGCCTTGACATCGGAGCCGTGGGGGTCATTTGCCGGATATTTTATTCCATACTCAATCGGAACATGTCTTCTTTACAATACAATAAAAATATCACCACTCTGTCATAAAATACTTGTTTTTATTTTAAAATGAAAAAGTGCACTCTTACTGAGACACCCGTTATAACTTCTAACGCGTGTACATAAGTACACACACGTTTTTTTTGGAGTTTACTCCTTAAGAAACGATTTGAGTTATAAGGCCCGGTACGGAAATTTTATGAGGAGTAAAATCAAGTGTAACACGAAAAGTTGAGGCGTTATGTAGAAAGAGACAAACATATATATCTGTAGGATTGAACGTGTAAAAGAATGAGATGGAACATTACACAGACTTTTCTATTTTGAATTCACGTTTCGACAGCCACGTTACAACATTGTCAGTGTTGACAGGTGTAAAAAATAAAAGTAGATTGTCTAGCGTGCCATAGAGTTTTGTCAATAGTAATGGTCAGTGAAATTAAAACTAAAATATTGTTCATTCTTATTCTTCTCTTGCTATAAAGGTAACTTTGGTCACAGAAATTTTATGTACTATTATTATTATTATTTATATTGTTTTGTAACATACTTTATGTAATACGCTTTATTGAAGTAATATAAATAATCCGAATAATTACAGACATATGTTTGTTTCTCTTATCATTTTAGCAGATGCGTTCATTTACCCTTTTTTTTCTATTCGATATATATCATAATTATCGTTCGTAAGGAGTAAACTCCAATCGTGCGTCGTAGCTGACACACACAGTCTTTTTTATTTCTTTCTCTTCCTGAGGATTAAATCTTCTATTTGTTTGAATTATTTTACAACCATATCTTAATAGTTTGTTTTATTAATATTTAGTTTTACTAACTAATTTTTTAGTAAAGGGCTTTGTAAAATATTTTCAACAACGTTCATGTAAATCAAACAAAGCAGTTCATGCAATAAATAATTTTATTTGAAAACTTCTTATATCATCATAACTTTTCATAACCAGTGAATGTGAAATTATATCTGCTTACCTCATTATTGTCTTCCAGGCTAACACCTGATTTGTAACTTCCAAATTGAAACTTCATTCATGTTGAACATAAAATTATACCGGAATCCGTACATTATGGAAGACGATAAATTTCTACATTATCGTAACACTAGCACGGCCGATCTCAATATCTTACTTCTAGATTTGCTACGATTTAACTGATCTAGGACACTATCCGGCGGGATCCACTTACGGCAATCAAATTTGTATGGAAGTGGATTCGTGTATAAGGGTCATTCCCATGTAGAAAATTATTATTGTTAAAATGTTCAATTAAAAAACAAACCGATGTATTTTTAATTGAGCATTCTAACACTGCGAGATAATACTCGAGATTCGCACAATGAGATCAATCCCAAAATATCCATAACCTATGTTAATAGTTTGAATAGACCATTTATATGTAAGCTATTGAGAGGGCAGCTGAAACAAAACAAATTGTTTATATAAACTAAACTTTATAACGATAATTATAATACTGTATACACATTCACTAAGAACAGACTGTCATATAAACCTTAAATCTGATGAGACAATGTTAAATTGTTCTTACAATTTTGAAATACGACATACGAACATGGCTTGATTAACAATATGCTTATAAGCACAAAAGATTCATTGATACCATATGTATCTCAAGGTCGTAGATGATAGTAAGTATTGAATCTTCTGATGCAGCAAAAATAAAGAGTAACATGCGAGACTTTAATTTTATAAGAAGACGTAGCCCGTACAGATGTCAGATGGTCTAAAACAGTAACCGAATGGACTGGAACAAAAGAAAATAGGGCGTACTAATAGAGCAATTGGCCGTCGGGATCGAAAGGGTAGCTGGAAAATGGGATGACGATGGCACAAAATTAAATATGGTGGAAAAGGTTGGAGGAATCCTTCCAGGCCAGCGGCCGCGATTGACATAATTTTTGTCAATGTATGTCAATAAGATTTGGATGAATAAAAGCTTTATAAATATTATTATTATAAAAGAAGAACCAATTCGTAGATTTGACTAAGCTAAATCTCGAATCCTAAATTTTACCTTATAATGTGATTTTATAAGGTCTGATAGAAATATGACGATGAGATGATAAAAGAAAATAAACTGTCTCTATTTCAATAAACGTACCTTAAACATATATCTAGTAGTATTGGTAGTTTGTATGTTTAATTCATATAATCCTTACGAAATAACGTTAGTCTATTAACTGTCAATCTTAGTGAAAATATATTCAGTATTTTCTTATATTTTAAGTTCATAATTGTTTTCAGATTAATGACAGTCTTTGATATTATATTTGATTAAATACTTCTTCTCAATTTGTTCATTCATGGCCTTACCATGGTTAACTTTTAGATAATCCAATTAGTATTGATCTATTACATTACTTAAACTTAATGTTCTTCTACCAAAGCGCAATTTAAGCGTAAAAACAGCGTTTTGTACTATTAACGTAAAAAAAACTATTTACGTTAAAAGTTTGTACTATTAACGTAAAAAAACTATTTACGTTAAAAGTTTGTACTATTAACGTAAAAAAACTATTTACGTTAAAAGTTTGTACTATTAACGTAAAACGTTCAAAAAATTTAACTGGCGTGAGTTGCCTACTAGTTTACGATTTATATATTTTGTAATTAATCTGTCAATTATTTACTAATTATCTATTTTATATTTACATTAATTTGTGATTTTAAAGTAAAGATTAATATCGACAGGTTTAATTTATCGAATTTTAATGTTAATAACCATTTTATAATATATTTAGATAGGAATCTTAAGTCAAAATTTGATATTTGACAATTTACTCACGAAATTGGAATCGTAATTAATAGTAACAAAATTGAAACATTTTTGACGCAGCGCAGAGTAGTTAGAGCAATTTCGCCGCTAGACGCGATTATCGATCACTATCGACCTTAGGAAATACAATTATTAATAATAATTTGTTAATAATCAAAGACTGTCACACGTATCGTCGGGTCAAATCTATTTTTATAATATCCTAACCATTACGAGGTCATTATCAATATCACTACAAGTTACTAATAGTTAACTCGATATAACAAATCTCAATAATTTCCTTGGGAAACAAATTTATATCACTTTAATACTTTAAGATATGAATTAGTTTTAATTTTATTTACAGTAGGATATTTATAAATTGCTTATGAGGTCACTGACATGAATCTTCCATTTTGCTTTTACGTGCCTTAATTTTGGATATAGACAACACTGAACACATTTTTTCGCTGATGGTTGATGGAAAATCATGTCATTGTATCTTTTTGGGTGCGTTTCACTGATTTTTACGACGACGCTAACGCCTGCAGATAATCTGTATCGAGCGTTACCCTGACGCTTTTACATGGCCGATGACAATACTAGAAGATAACAACACTATTTTCGCAGTGTTTTAACATTTAAATATATTTAAATGAAACATTGGTGCGTTGCATCAACGGGCACCAACTTTTTAAAAGTTAGTAAATTTTAATAATTCAAAAACCTCGCCTAATCGTGATTAGTGTTAGTGAAACGCACCCTTAAACAAATAAAACACGTCAATAGACTCATTTTTGGTAATCAAAAAACTGTAAACTTTTTCGGTTAAAATTACAGTTAAAGTATACGAACTTCATAAATGGCAGTATTGTATCACGTATACGAATTTAGGGAACACAGGCTTCGATTTTGATACAATTGAATTATTGCCACACGATATTTTAATCTATAACGAACAATCCAACGAAATTATTTACAAGAGAATAATACAACAAACATCTCGTACATTCTTGAACCGATCGAGTCAGGTAAAAAAATTGTGCGTTCATTATGATTACATAAATCAGTCAACCAAAAACTTAAATGCCTCAAAATAATTCGAATTTAATATAATGGTATTCTGATAATTCATGATTTCCTTTCACATTCCTGTCTCAAAGCAGATCTGTCAATATTGTTAATCCAAAAGCTCCATACAAAATATTGATTTGTTTTCGTCATCTAATGATCAATTAAAAGCATTAAAACGAATATAACCAACAACCCCAAAAGATCACGCAAGATAATTTTGATTTCCCATAGACAAAAGTTTTGCAGTATATATCTTAAAATTTGATGAAATCTTTAAATTAAGGTGAACGTTTTAATGTAGAATTTTTTGTATGAGAGCTAATATAGGAGAATCTGTCATGTAAAATCAGATTACCACGATATATAAAGTATCCTGACCAATCGGTATCACTTTGGTCCGAAGGCTCGCTTTAAAACTATTCAATCTCAATTCGAGTTCAATGCCCGTCGTGTCATTGACCCGGTGACGTCATTGCGTCTTTAACAAGGAAAAATCCAGACTCCGCGCGTGGAGAGTCACACCGTAGTGACCCTGTCTACTTCCACATATCGCACGGAGTCTTCGCTTGGTCAGCAAATCACTTCTTTCTCATCGAAAATTGCTGTGTCCGAGGAGAAACTTTTGAGGCGCTGCTGGAGCGCTGAACGGCGCCGCCGACAACTTCGAGTTGCTGCGACCTGAAAAATATAAGTTTTTAAATTAAATATTATGGGACAGTTATGAGGTTGTTTAAATGTTCACGTTAGTTCTGGAGACGCAGAATCCTATTTGTCAGTAAGGAGGTAGGCCGGCCAAAAGGCGTTTTAAAGGCCGGCAACGTACTCGTGAGCCCTCTGGCAATGAGGGTGTAAATGGCGGACGTTAAGTCTCACTTAACATCAGTTTAGCCTCTTGTTCGTTTGTCAGATGTTCTATAAAAAAGGCATATACCGGTAAGGGAAGTGAATATCAAAAAAAAACCGGCATACAACTAAAATTATAATTTCTTTAAAAATATATATACTATAATCTCAGTAACAAATGTCCTAATGCGTACAGTAAAACTCACCACAATGAAGGCGATACAAGCGATGAACGCTATCAGCCCTGTTAGGTAATGGAAAGGAGCGTTCATAAAGGAGGAACATTGTGTAAGGCGCTCATCAGCTCCGTCAGGGCATTGGCTAATACCGTCGCACCATAGAGCAGGGGATATGCACGCATCTATAGATGGGCAGCGGTAGCGACAGTCACCCGACAGCGCGAACACTCCACCGTGTTCGGTTGGTTGTCTGGAAAATATATTCAAAATCAAGTGATATTCTAGAATCTAGAATGTAGTTATACAATTACAAAACAGTTTTATATATTAAATAAACGAAATTATCTCTAGATATTTTTTTTGCTTTAAATATATATTAATTTAAACAATCTAGATATTGTAAAATTTCGCTACGTTTGGGTCAAAATAATACGTATCAAAACGGGCCCTCTATCGGCCGTAATTATAAATGAACTGAAATTCAAATTCCAAATAATTTTAATGAAGATTTTTCTATATTAATTAAGTGAGAGCAAAGAGCAGTGATGCTGGCTGTACAGAGATTTTATATTAGGTTCCAATTTGGTGAGCAGTCTCAAGTCTCCACGTTGTGTTAAATCCAGCTGATTGCGTTTGCCCCCCTTAACGAGGAAATTGCCCCCCCTGGGGCGTGGGCCCCACGATAAACACTGATCTAGAGCCTAAATTCATTTTCTATTTGATTTATGATAAGATGACATAAAGAACATTGAATCATACCTCCTAGACAATTCCAGCCATGTCACAAAGTAGGATCCACTCTCAACGCCCATCAGCTCAACGGAGAGGGATCTGGGCCAATCCAGGTCAAAATGGTCCGGTGATGGCGGAGGGGCTAACACATGCTTTGCTAGAGGGTCCACTTCTTTAATCCAACCATCGGAGAAAATTTCCACGCTTTGCTCTTCCTGGAATAAAATGTTTTTCGTAAGTTAAAGTTAGTAAAAATAACTTGGCTTTCTATAATTTGGCACATATAGAAATATAAATTTATTTATTAAATTTAAAATCCAGGTTATATTGGACGTCAACCATTTGTTAAATTAATGTTACCACTTGCTTTATATAATTTTAACAATAAAATCTTGTATGTAACAATTTAAAATTAATAACTTTTGTACATGTAGCAAGCTACAAAGACAAGCTACAAGGAATGAAGAAGGTGTCAAATAGCCACTTCAGAAGAAAAAAAAAATCTTGTATAAAGTCGGTTGACTTTTTACAAAAACCCAAAAATATATAAATATATATTTTACCTTAATTTGGGGGGAAAACCCCCAAGTTGGCATCAGTGAGTACACAGAAGAAAATATTCACTATGGAAAATTATCGAAATCTGCATTACACGTAAATGTGTTAAAAGATTCATACCTGTCTATGGGGCGGCAGTGGACAAATGTAAACCGGCGATAGGCCTCCAGTATACACTGCTATTCGGTTCTGCGTGCGGCACATATGCCGCAGATCTGGAGCGACCGTTATATTATTGAGAAGAGTGAAGTTATCCAAGTCTGGTTCTTTGATGATACTGCCTTCAATCCTCAAGTAGAGGTAGCGACCAGGTGATGGATCAATCAACCAAGGACGCTGGTCACAATGATCCTGGAAGTATAAATATTGTAATAAGCATCATCAAACTTCCAACAAAAAGAGATTTCCCACACCATTGTTTCTCAAGCATTTTAATGTCGCGACCCACGAAAAAGCCAGAAAGTTAAGTGAAACAGTCTTGCAACCCCGTCACTGTATAATTATAATTTAGTTTTATAACACTACACTATAATTATTAATTCCTTTAATAACCGAATCATTTATACCTATATGTAGTTTGTATTTATTATATTTCAACAGAAGTAACAGAAGAATAGACCCCCTTTTAAAACTCGACCCCCCCAAGGGTCGCGACCCCGCATCAGAAACGATGTCCTACACTATTGCGAGGCTATTATAACTCAAAATGTCTAATCTTTAATAGATGTCTGCAATATCTATAATATGGATCGGGTTAGTAACAAATTAAAACCTAAGAGATATTCAGAACAAAATTATGCTTTTATTTTTGTAAGAATCCAGTAAATACTTTTGACAATAGATGGCGCTAATACGATAATATTTCAATAATGAAATAGTTAAGAATTGATTTGATTTAAACAATCAATACGTCTAGTTTGTAAATAATATAAATGTAAAAACGAGCCATGTGAATACTGTTATAAATATGGGCTTATATCCGTTAAATTTTAATATACAATACTGTTATAGGGAAAGACTTAATGTATGGATGTGAGGCTTGGACGTTAACCATAAAAGAGGAGCAGAAGTTACTGGTGGAACGCAAAGTACCGAGTAAAATCCTGGAGCCGACAACAAGGGAGGACGGGTCATGGAGAGCCCGAAAAACTAGAATAGTTGCCCAGCCGAACATTACCTAGGCCGGCCTGCATTACCGACCTAGGTTATGCAGAGTGGAAGGGGACATTCTGCAGCTGAAAGCTAGTAATTGAAGGGAGGTGGCAAATGACAGAGATCGCTGGAAGATTCTAATTTTAGAGGCCAAGACACTTTTTGGGTCGCATAGTCAGCGAAGTTGAGTTAGTTAAAAATAAAGAGGGGGAATTTATTTTCTGTTCGCCGTCTAAATAAATGGTAATTTGATGTCTACGCCTGAACCAGTTGAATTGCAAATTTTAGAAAAGAAAATATAAACAATTTGTACTTACCATACCCATAATAGAAGAATACAAAAGTAACTCTCCACTCGGTCCATGGACTCTGTGTGTGTCTTCACAATGGGATTCGACCCTCACAAACTCTACTGAAGCCTCAAATCCAAAAGACCGGAAGTCATCCATTGCTGTCATATTCACAACGTCAAATTTCAACTCAGCCACAGTTGATGTCGATGTAAATTCGTAGTCAAATACATCACTGAAATATTTGTATCACAGGATTAACGAAAGAAGTTTGAATTTTTATATTTAGTGCTGGCTTTACAACCGGGGGTTAGACCCCTTGTAAGCTGTAGACTATTTTTTATTTTTTTTATTTATGGCTCTGGCACGGTTTGTGCATTAGCCAACGCAAGTATAAGATTTTTATAATTCGTGCTTTTTGCCTTAGAAATTCGACCATGTCCTCCATGTACGGTTTTAGGCACTCGCCCGGTCGGTACCGGGCGAGTGCCCGGTTGTGCGGTCACAACCCTCCCAAAGGCCGAGAACAAATTTAAATTAAATTAAAACTTGCCCTCGAACCGGGAATCGAACCCGGTACCCCTCACCTAGCTGCCACTTAATAAGACCGCTAGGCTATGAGGTCCCCTGTAGACTATTTACGAACTCGGTATTTTGAGAGCACCAAGTAATGTACTTGACATTTAAAGATGTATCTACCAAGGAAACTAACACGCCTGTGGGTACCAGCACATAGCACAACGATGTATTTAAAAATTAAAACAACAATTAACGCCATGGCTATCAAACTATTTAATCACCTTTTAATTAGTTACTTATTATAACAATTAGCATGGATTATTTATAATTATTACTGAGAAGAAACAATGATTATTTTGCCGGAAATAGTTTTAGGTTCAATTCTACATAAAATGTCTCGAAAAGTATTTCATCACAAATCTTAATACATATATATAAATTACGTGTCACGTTGTTTGTCCGCTATGGACTCTTAAACTACCGAACCGATATCAATCAAATTAGCACAACGTGTGTAGTTTGATCCAACTTAAAAGATAGGATAGCTTACATCTCAATTTATACCCGAAATATTATTTTATTGCAAAATATTTGTTTATATTGATAGTCACAATTCTAACAGATGGTGCTGTGTTGAAAGTACCAACGTTTCACATAAGCTACAATTTAATGGCATAACCACCAATAAAGCATGGTGGTCCCCATGACTGGTGTTCCGTTTCCCTTGAATAGTTTGCTACTATGTAATAAATATAACATAAACCTTAGCCACAGCAACGCTTGGCCGGTCTGCTAGTATAATATAAAGGAAGGTACATCTGCTATAATTAAAACATTTAACAGCTCAGTAGGTAATAGAAAAGATAGTTGACTATAGACATTAGGGCGCAGGAGTAGTTTAAGGTTAACCGCAAAGTTTGATTATGTTGCTACGTGCTAGGATTCGATTCGTGTAGCAAAAAAAGCAGACAATAAACACGTAAAAGCTATAAGAAAAGTAATCATTAATGTACTGATATATGTTACGGGGCACGATTACTGCCCTGCGATTCTGTAACTCACTTTTCGAACTCACACAGCGGTTTTCGCATCGGCGGTCGCTCTCAAATCAGTCGTGAAGCAGTCATTTTATGATTACGCATTCTGAAAAGGTGGGAGCTTGTAGTTTATTGTTTACTGCTTCACGACTGATTTGAGAGCGACCGCCGATGCGAAAACCGATGTGTGAGTTCGAAAAGTGAGTTACAGAATCGCAGGGCTGAAGCTACTAAATACTTTTGATCGTATTCTAGAAATAATTACGATACTTTTTTGTTTTACCTGCATAAACAATCCCGTAGAACCCCAGGCCCACTATCCTTCCAAGGTCGGTCGAATACTCTAACAGCCGCCGTGACCTCGCCACCACATCTGAACCACGGAGAGTGAGCAGAATGCACAGATCTGCATAGTCTTCCGCCACTTCGGACGCTCCATATCTTCAGCCGTACGACCTCGCCAGGGTTAGCTTCAAATCGGTAAGTGCAGCTGTTGAAAGACGCTTAAAATTACACAACTTTTAAGATTGTGCATGACTTTAAAATAGATGGTGAAAACTAACAAAACATCAATAAGAACTTAAGGCCGAGTTTCGAGCCTACTTCAGTTTTAAGCACTTAAATTGGAAAGCCTGTAAATAAACACATTAATAATTAATGATGATAATAATGATAATTTCCTAATTGTAATAACGTTTTCCAACATTCTAAAATATTGGATTATTTTAGGTGATATCGCCGCCCTATAGACACGCACATTGCCAGAGGGCTCGCAAGTGTGTTGCCGACTTTTTAAGAATTGGTAGGTACCCTCTTTTCTTGAAAGACCCTAAGTCGAATTAGTACGGAAATATATCAGTTTTGCAGCTGGTTCAAAAACTGGCAAAAACTGCCTTTAAAACGATCAGTTGTGGAAGCTTATTTTGTTTTAATAGTTTTTATAACTTCTACTTGAAGTAACTACGACTGTACAAAACAGAATTTGAAATTAAATAAAATCAACTGGCGCAACTTATTTTAGATAACAAATTTATACAATACCTGATATTACGATTTCCTCCCCTCCCATAGAGAAAAACATCTCTTGGTGATGAAAATGTTACTGGTGGGTCCGGTGGTGCTTCGGGAAAAGAACGAGAAGAAAACCTCCTAGAACAAGGACCGTGACCCCATTGCTCTCCATCTTGGTGCAGGTCAACGAACTCGTATAATGCTTTGAAGAAAACTGGTCTGAAATAATACACATAAAAATTAGCCAGCCTATAATAAATCTTTACCGCAATGAAAAGCTTAACTTATATATTTCGTGGCATTTCAATTATTTACAGTCTTCGATGATTTAATAAGGCCTAATTAATATTTCTACCAGATATTCTTATGAAACAAAACTTACTAATTTCGAAAAAAGAAAGTGTATAAAACAAAAGACAAGTCATTTAGTAGGAATAAGAGCGACCATAAGTTTGTAAGTAATATAAAACGTGTAAGTAAATTAGAAAGTTAAAACTCACTTCAGAGCGGTCCCTTGCGTCAATTTCAGTTCTAAAGTTAGAGAATCGCCTTTTGATAAAAAACTTTCAGTTCGAGCACAGGCCCTCGACCTTCTAAGTAACGCATGTTCACACGTTCTTGGCGCCCTCTCACGGCAGAATCTCGCAACTAAAGTGGCATTTGTGGGAGGACGACCCACTATCACCGACTGTGGTGAGGTGGCTCTAGACATTTGTACTGAGCGGTCCTTGTCACTATAAATACAAACCCCATTCGTTAGACGAAGTATTTCGATGTCTTTTAAAAATAAATATTTAAATTAGGTTGAACTTTACATATTGTAGTGTGTTAATTTAACGCCGAATTATGATATATTATTCAAAATACAAAACGAACGCTTTGCTAATAACAATGTTAGCTCTTTATTAATTATTATTGATAATTTTATTTATATTTTGCGTGTTGTTCCCACGAGAATGTAAGTGCATGCACCTATTTTACCATGCCTCCTGCTGATAGAGGACAAATCTTTGTTTTAAATTTATTTATTATTATTAATTAACTATTAATTACTTAAGATATCATTTGGAACATGGTGTAATAGTTGCAGCTCCTTACAAACATTATGTAAAGCAAAAAAACTTGGAGATTAAAAAGAGTAGCGGAGAGGCTATTGCCAGTTCTTCTCTTCCTATAGCCCTTGATTTGAGAACTGGCAGTAAATATAAAGTTAGAAGCATTTAATATGTATATCTTTTTTTGACGTTAATAAGTGTACATTGTGTGACCTATATGAATAAATGATTTTGAATTGAATTTGTGATAAAATATCAAAGCGAATTACAATAAAGAAAGGTAGTAAATAAGATCATAATAGCAATATCATACCAAAAAATATCGCTGCAGCCAGGCGATATTCTCATGGGTCCATCCCATATATTCAAATGGCTTCCGCAGTACTCATCTTCAGGCAAATTCGGATTGAGAGCGTTCGTCACATAAAATTTTAATACTGAGAACCAGACACGAAATCTCGGAGCTGAAAATTGTCGTCGATAAAATATATTCTTGCCCGAAGGACCAGAAGTATCGATTCCCTGCATATGATATAGACACGTTGTGTTCGGCGGTAAAGAGTGTTGAGGGTGCTCCAACACACCTCGGCCAGTCCCTCTTATCCAAAACTCACAAGCCCGCTTATTTTTTGCGTAGGTCGGCGATTGTTGATCGACGAATCTAACCTAAAAGGTTTTATTATGCTAATATCAATTTCATTCAATGATTGTAGTACGTTTGGATTGCGAAATGTTTTCCGATTCTCACATTTGTTTGTGATGGGAATTTTTATAAGATTGATTTTAGATAATACTTTGCGCATTCAAGACGAGATACGCTAAGGAGAGGGTCAAGAGGTATTAAGAGTTGTAACCCAGATTTTAATACGATGATTTCGCTTAAAATGGCTGTAATAAGTGGGTTATAATTAGCTCATTAGCATTATATTAATTTTAATATCATAAAGTATCAGGAACTTAAATAGTTGACCGTTAAAATAGAATGGTTTGTGGTGTGGAATGGTTGGTAAAAGTTATTTACAAAAATCTAGCAAATTAAAACACAACCTAAATCACGTTTATAATTATTTGAACAATTGTATTAATTAGGTCACTCAAAAATAACTACATCTTTTTATTCAGCTAGCCATCATATATAAAATACATCAATATAATTGCACTGTTTTTACAAAAATACTAATCAGTATCTTCACACCATGGCGTATATATCTATATATCTCTAGAAAATATGTAGAATAGATTTCCAGGAAGGGGAACATAATAAATAAAGTTTTCCACTATACTATTTGACACTAACAAACGTCAAAGTAATTTCGAATATTACGATAACTTTTCCATTATATTTGGCATAAAAAATTCTGCAGTAGACTGCAGATGAAGCCAGTAATATTCGTTGTTTAATAAAGGAAACGAAAAATTTAATACGATTACGGCAAACATAATTTACATTCAGGTAAGATTATGAAAAGGTAAAAAGTCCTGGCGAGAAAAAATGGTTTGAGGCCGCGGCCTAATTTGATAAGTTGAAACAATGCAAACTGCTGTGGAGAATAGTGAATGCTCCATTATAATAACTGGCCGTACGAGCTCTGCTAATTACACTTTGGCGTAGACCCAAACAGAGCATGGTATGCCTTGATTTATTGTTTAACGCGAGTGAATTTTAAATGTATACAGAGTCTTGCATTTGGTTTTGTTTGTATTAATTATTTTCAGCCTTGATTCATACTACGCGTTTGCGTTGTTCTTTTAGTAATGTAATTGCATTCTACTATTTCGAAACAAACATTTGCTCTTTTTTTAAATGTTTTTATATAATTAACTGTATTTGATGAGAACCATTTAAAAGAATAAAGAGTTTGTTGCCAGTTCTTATCGTTCGTTCTTCGTCCTTCGTCTAGTTCTCAATGGTAGATGTATTATTTTTTTAGTGACATTCATTCATTAGTGTTTATTAAGTTACCTAAATGACTAAATAATATTTTAACTTTTGGGTTTGAGATCGATCTTGGTGTATGCAAATGCGAATGAACGCATGTATTGATAGATGATGTGATAAAAAATAATGTAGATTGAATAGCCCACCGAATTTACTGTTAGAGTTCAATACAGCCGTGGCTATGCAATGGTAACTTGAGTTCAAATAACAAAGTACGTGAAAAACATATACCAAACTTTTTATCTCAACCAGTTTGGAAATATTAGTAAAACCATATTTTTTATCCATATTAATATGATTTTGCAAGATTAACTTAACATACATTAAATGCCACAATTATTGTAAATGGACAAATCTATTAAATCCTCAATAGACAATAGACTAATAGAGCTCTGTAGAATTCAATTAAATTTCTTTGAAATTGTAATATTTCCAACTGAGACGGCAGATTTGCCTCAAAGAGAATGGGTATAACAATCTTAAGTATAATTTAATTAGAAAGATCTTATCGTTATAAGATTGTTCTTTTAGAGCTTACTCATCATTCAACTTATAACTAATATAAAGACATTTTCATAATGATAAAATCTTCAAAAGAGATAAGATTTGTCGAATCCATAGCCTATAAACCCGTATTATGTTACATTTACTAAGAATTTTGAAGTAAAACTTCTTTAGGTGCGACTAGGGAGTAACTAAGATTGTTTCTGACGGAAGTAACGCTTACTATAGTCTGTGTAGTTTCCGCTATTTAAAAATAACAACGACAGCGCGTTTTATAAGCCCGTCAGCGCCATCTAGTAGTGCATTATTTGAACTGATTTAAGTCAGTTTCTTGGTAGTGCTTATTCAGGATAGCATTCACTCGTTTTATTTGATCCTAATTCTTGTAATGTATGTATGTCTATTATTAGTATATATATATATTTAAAATGAAAATGAAAATCCATACTAGTAACATGTGTCCAAATTAAAATTCCACTAAAGAGGGAAGGTTCCCAAGGTTTTTTCGCTTAATTTCGTATTTTACCATTTTGGAATAAGTAAATTAAAACCAAATTAATTATCCTAAAAATCTAACAACATTGTATAAGACAATAGCAAAGTGAATTAAAAAAATTCAACAGTTTAAAAAAAAAATTAAATTGCAAAGTTTTTTGAAAATCTCAAAATATACCTTTTGATTTATTACTTTTAAAATAAGTAAATTAATAATAAATTTTCTGACGATTGCGACATTCTATAATATTCAATAACAAGGTTATATTGACATGTGCTGACCTAACCTTCGTTAAATAAGTTATAATATGATATTTATTATTTAAGTTAATATTTAATCATTTCAGTGATATATGCCGTCAACGCCAAAGAAGTTTTACTTCAATCGCGCTTAAAGATTACACGCACAAAATTTTTGTTTGGGGATGTAACTACTACTACCTACTATTGAATTTTTTTCAAAGGCAAATAAGTGATCTATCTTTCAATTTAAAACTATTATTGTGTTTTATAATTGGACTCATTAACAACTTGTTAATGAATCCTCTACTAGTTAATCTAGTACTAGAAAATCATACAGTATGTGTAAAAGAAAAAAAATACGCAACATTATTATACTAAATGCCTTTAATATATGAATAATTTTAGGTCAACGTTTACCAAAGACTTATCGTAATTGCACGGGAACTCAAAGCATTATTAGCTGCTAACCCACTGCGGTTAACGTATTGGTTAATAGAAATTCTGGCGTTTATGCAAAACTTGGCATTGTACTGGATTTAATATTAAAATCTCGAGCTTTATTAGTCCAGTAGGTATACTTTCATGGTATAATATAAATTTTATGGCATATGTACATAAGGACATGACATATGAGGTAAAATCACTCTGAGTGTTCTAGTGTTAATTAATCAGTTAGGACATACGTAAAATCAGGAAATTTCTGTGATAAATATCAACTAAAACATACACTGAACAATCTTGTTTAGATATTGTGGGAAATTTCCAGCAAAATGGTTGTGTAAAATAATGCCAAGTCCAGATAATATCGTTTCAAGCTATAGGATCCCATTAATTCAAGTCCTTACTTCACAAACTCTTAGTCAAACTATGTGGATGAAAAAAGAGAAGATCGCTTGGACTAGCACAATATGTGCCCAAATAATTAGCAATTTTTTATTATTATTGAGAAATCAATTAACAGATCCGCGCCGGGGTAACTTCTTAAAGTGTGATGGTCCCCTACCCACTAAAGCCCAACAGCCCCATCTGCTCAATGTGGACAACAGTTTCCCTTAAACCGTGTCGAAACCTTCGAAAGGTTAAGGATCATTTTGTCCAAAAGTATATATGTATTGTAAAGTACATACACCGGGCGCCAAACAAAAACTACAGCTTAAAATAACTAGGCAGAATACATTATAACCAGAATAAGCCAATTCCTCAGTTACTATGCGATCTGAAATTACATTAAGGGTAACTTATCAAACAAGGTAAAAATGCGGAGGCGAATGTTCAAACATCAAAAGTTTATTGAGGAAACCAACAACGTTTACATTATTTCGCCTCCTATTATAGATCGTCTCAAACAATACTGAACACAAAAGAAAACTTTGTATATCTGGTATTTCAAATAACTCAAATATGTATATTTATATGACATTCAAGGTAAACGAGTGCTTTTATAGATTTATTAACTGCTTTTACAACCCTGTTCGTTTAATTAAAAAAATAATGTTGGATTCATAATTTTTACAAGAAAGCTTATTCTTTGTTGATTTATTACGATGTTTGTGTTATAGGCATTACCAACAGCCATGCGATTCTGTAGCTCACTTTTGGAACTCACACAGCGGTTTTCGCATCGGCGGTCGCTCTCAAATCAGTCGTGAAGCAGTCATTTTATTATTTGGCATTCTGAAAAGGTGGGAGCTTGTAGTTTATTTTTTATCAGAATGCCAAACCATAAAAGGTGGGAGCTTGTAGTTTATTGTTTATCAGAATGCTAAATCATGAAATGACTGCTTCAAATTCAAATTCAAAAATCATTTATTCACGTAGGTAACACAATGTACACTTGTGATTCGTCATTAAAGAAATAAATATTAATGCTTCTAATTTTACATTTACTGCCAGTTCTCAAATCAAGGGCGTAGAACGGAAGAGAAGAACTGGCAATAAACTCTCCGCCACTCTTTTTAATCGCCATGTTTTTTTTTTTTTTTTACACAACGTTTGTAAGGAGCTGCAACCATTACATCATGTTCCACATGACATTTTAAGTAATTAATAATAATAACATAAATAAAAACAAAGACTTGTCCCCTATCAGCAGGAGGCATGGTGAAATAGGAGCACGCACTTACATTCTCGTGGGAACAACACGCAAACACATAGTCGAAATAATTAACATCACCGCATACACGAATTCAAGTGCGACCAGTCACCACAAGTAGCACCCGTTCACGAGTATGACGCATGGCCAGCCATCGGCCCCCTCGCCATATTTTAGGGAGAGAGACAACCCGACGCATGGACGCCGCCACAAGCAATGACATTTAAGCGAGCATGACGATCCTTGAAATGTGGACTTGGCTACATAAGAAAATAATAATAATACTGAAATAATTGGATACCACATGGATCACGGTTTGTTCCCACTTTACATTAAAACAGTCGTGGATGTTGACGATCGCCCCAGAGTCTGGAAATGCAGCCGAGAGATTCAGTCGCGTTACCTATTTATACTGGAGCAACTTATATCCAAGCACTAGGATCGTTTAAATATTCATTTATATTATAATAGGCCTTAGCAAGCAGTTTTACTTTAATGTACGACTTAAATTTATTTATTGACAACTCTTGTATCTCACTAGGGATTTTATTGAAAAAACGTATACAATTGCCTTGGAAAGAATTACTCGTTTTATGCAGCCTTCTGGTTGGTGCGCTAATTTTGTCTTTATTACGAGTACTATAATTATGGAAGCTACTATTCTTTTTAAAGATATCTATATTTTTCCGCACATACAAAATATTCTCATAAATGTATTGACTTGCCAGAGTCAAAATATGTAATTCCTTAAATTTGCTTCGGACCGACTCCCGTGGGGACAACCCACAGATCGCTCTTATAGCCCGCTTTTGCACTACAAATATCGATTTAATGTCAGCTGCATTACCACACAAAATAACACCATATGACATAATACGATGAAAATAGCTGAAATAAACAAGCTTTGCTGTGTTCTCATCCGTAAGATCGCGTATCTTTTTTACTGCGAACGCTGCGGAACTTAGCCTATTCGAAAGACCTTCTATGTGTCGGCCCCACTGGAGTTTACTATCTAAAGTAATTCCCAAGAACACCGCATTATCAACAAAGTCTATTTCCTCGTCTTTAATTATTATTTGAGAATGACTACTTTTTACATTTGTAGTTACAAATTTAACACATTTTGTCTTCTTTTCGTTTAACTTAAGATTATTTGTATTAAACCAGTGAACTACACTGGAGATGGCACTGTTTACGTTATCAAGTGATGGATTTTGTCGTTTCACTTTAAATAAAAGCGAAGTGTCATCAGCAAACAGTACTATCTCGTGAAGCTCCTTTACAAGAAATGGCAGGTCATTTATATAGACGAGGAATAAGAAGGGACCAAGTATGGAGCCTTGCGGTACTCCCATAGTAATAGAGGATCCCTGTGATATAGCTCCATTTACATTTACCTTTTGAATTCTATCGCTCAGGTATGATTCCACAAGATTTAGCGCTTTTTCGCCAATGCCATAGTGTTGAAGTTTCTTGATTAGGATTTCGTGATGGACACAGTCAAAAGCCTTTGATAAGTCGCAAAAAACTCCAATGGCATCATGAGAATTTTCCCAAGCATTTAAAATCTCGGAAATTAATTGAATGCCAGCATCTGCTGTGGAGCGACCTCTTGTAAAACCATACTGCTGGCTATGCATAATTTTATTATTATTAAAATGTATCAATAATTGTTCAAGAATGATTTTTTCAAAGATTTTACTCAAAGCCGGCAGCACAGATATGGGTCTAAAATTTGTGGGGTCCGAAGTGCTGCCCGTTTTGAATAACGGTGTGATTTTACTTATCTTCATCTGGTCTGGAAAGACTCCACAATCTATACATTCATTAAATATTATAGCCAACTCTGAACTGATAGTATTGATAACTGATTGTAAAATGAAAACAGATACACCCCAAAGATCTTTATTTTTTTTATTTTTAGCTGTTTAAATGTTTTTATAATGTCATTGCAGCTAATGCGGCTAAATACAAACTTATGATTGCATACAGGAACATTCTTTTTCAATAATAAAAGGGTGGCTGATGGTGAAGAATTCAAAACGCTGGTTGTATTTAAAGGAATGTTAGTAAAAAACTCTTCAAATGCAGAGGCTACTTCGAAGTCGGAACTAATTACTTTGCCGTTTATGTTTACTTTAAATTCAGTATCCTTTCTGGAGGTTCTTCCAGTCTCCTCGTTTATAATTTTCCAAGTAGCCTTTATCTTATCAGAGCTGTTGTTTATTCTAAGACTTAAGTGTTTCGCCTTAGCGATTCTACACTCTTGCCTAAAACTTTTTGAGAATATCCTAACATAAGTTTTAAATTCTTCACTGTCATTATACTGTTTTTCATCATACAACTCATACAATTTTAGCCTTTTTTTGTGTAGCTCCGGAGTTGCCCAGTAACAAAAGGTAGGTTTCTCCGAGACCAAAAAAGTCTTTGGAGTGAACACATTTTTGAATTCACCAATAAATGAATCAAAGAATGTGCTATATAAATTATTAGGGCATTGGTTACTACGCAAAAAAGGCATTTTAAATATCAAATTTTTCCTAAATCTAACCGATCCTCTGTTAAAGGAATTGTGCATATTTTCTTTTTTTGATCTTTACATTTTAGTATTTCAAATTCAAACAATTGACCAGAGTGGTCAGATGTAAGTTTGTTGATAATACAGGCGTTGAGAGGAACTATATTACTATAGATATTGTTAATACATGTTGCCGTGGTGGCTGTTACCCTAGTTGGTACAATAAAAGTATTAATTAAATTATATGATTTAAACAGATTTAGCAAACGTTTACTTGAACTACAGTTGTCAAGCAAATTTACATTAAAGTCTCCACTAACGATCAATTTTTTCTTGGATTTTTGCAATTTGTACAGAACCTGCTCCAATATTTTTTTCTAAACTATCATATTGAGCTGAAGGAGGGCTATACAAACTAACAATGATAAATTGCTCCAGCTCCACACAAGATACTTCTATAAGGCGTTCCACAGAGAGGCTCACTATGTCCTTCCTTTCTTTAAATTTTATTTTTTTACTAAGCAATATTAATGAGCCACCGTGTATTGCATTTCCTCTGCAGAACGAACTACCAATCTAATGATTACAAAAATTTAACATAAGTTCACATGTCTTTAACCAGTGTTCTGTAATACACAGTATGTCAACATTTTCACTGCTCAAAAACAACTCAATTTCTAGTAATTTACTTTTCATGCCTTGTATATTTTGGTGAACCAGATTGATAGTATTGTTCTTAAATTTACTTAGCTTACTTTCTAATTCTAGGCCAGAGAGACTCTCTGTTGTCTAAGTGTCTAATTTAAATTAGATATACTATTTCTTGGAATATCTTCCAAGGTCTTACTAAAACCTGCTCAATAGAAGCAGGTTGTCTAGCCAAATTCTTGGCTGTTATATACAATAAATATGATAGCGAATCAGCTATCTGTCTTTTAAAATATGTAGGTAGATTATATCTATCCTTTGTCAAAAAAAAATTATTACAACTAATGTACCTATTGGTATCAATTAGTGTAAAGTTTTTATTGTACAATGTTAATGTGTGCATTGTCTGATTTAAAATATGTCTCGCATTATTTTCATGCTGACTAAAGTGTTTACTATAAGGGAATGTAAACATAATTAGAATTTTAGTATTAAGTAGGCACAATTTTTCATAGCAGCTAATAAGCTCCTTTTTGTTTAGATTACCTCTATTGCCTATAAATATAATTAGATTATCCGCTTTACTGGAAGTCTCTCTTACAATGTTCTTTATAATATATTTAAAAGTAGCATTTGGGTAACAGCTGCTTATAATATTTTGTTCCTTATTTAAAAATTGGCTCATTTGATGGTCTATTTGGTCACAGTACATTAAATTTAGCTTTGAAATGTTATTAACCCTACATACTGGTGATGGCACCTGTACAGACTGGCTTGAGTTTTCAAGCTCAAAGCATTGTGCTGCATGTGTGGAGATCTTGATAAGATCTTCCATAGCAGTCGAGTATTTAGAAACCATTCTAAATACTCGAAACACGACTGACTTGAGAGCGACCGCCGATGCGAAAACCGCTGTGTGAGTTCGAAAAGTGAGTTACAGAATCGCAAGGCTGGCTTGATATTTAATAATCGATAGTGTAAAAAACAAACTTCCTATCACGTTTATTATATAACTTTAGATGTATGTTAAAATATTTGTGTTACTTTGAAAAAGGAATTTTAAATAATTAAAAATATGTTCTTACCTCAACTTCTAATTGAAATCCATGCAAAGATTGAGCAGTTGCCGGTTGCAAAAAGGTTCCAAAAGGTGACGTAGTGAATTCTACTAATAACTCAGGACCACTCGATATTGCTTCCGGAACTGATACTCCTCCTCCGCAAAACCTTAAAATTACTGGATCCCTCGTCGTGTAGCCATCATACACGGTCACATAATCTTGAACTTCATCACATTGCTCCCAAAATTTTAACTCTCGTCCACTGTTACCCCGCTCTTGTTGGTTAGTCGCATACAACGCTTTCTGACTTCTTATCGAAATCAGCTGCCCATTTGGTTGCTTAACCACAATAAGGGCATGTTTCCCCTGAGGTACTTCGTGCTGTCGTACCGCGTAGTAGCACGTCAAATTTCTCGGATAAACTCCAGGGAAATTTGGTGATTGTAACCTACAGTTTTTACGATCGCAGTCACTGAAGATTCTCGAGCAATAAGTCCCAGAAATCAAATCCCCGAGGTAATACTCGCGGGCTTTAGTTGGCCTCGCGATGTTCGTATCTTCTCCACGCGTTATGTTTACGGGATATGGCATGGGTCTTATTTTGAAAAAGGGTCGCTCTGAAATGGAAATAGATATGATATATAACCCTTGGCTATCATATCTCACGATGAATAATATATCTAATACTAATTCCTGTATCTGTGTGATTTAAAATGTAAGCTTTCTTAACTTTGTTCAAGATTAAAAATTAACACGAACTGCAATAGTGTAATTGCTAGGAACATAACACTAGTATTACATAGTATACCAGATTGAGTAACAACAAGTTAAACAATAAATATTGTAGATAGTCGACAATGATAGGGCGATAATAAATAGCAGTAGTTCGCACATTAAATGACATGAAACAATTTGTTTAGTTTAATGTACTGGCAAGTAGATAATTATATTAAGATTTAACAGTTCATGTTTGGATATACAACGTGAACGTTATGATCGGTGGGGTGCTTTGAGAACTGAAGTATATTGTTTACAAAACTTTGACATCTACGTATTATCTTATCGTGACATTATGTTTTCCAAGTTGTCTGTGACTCACCTGAGGGAGGCATCCCTCCATACCGAACTGTCGCGTACTCCTTCCTTAAAACTTTGTATGCCATTCGGAAGTCAAAGTTGTAGTTGTTTTGTTCTTTGGAGAGGTGTAGAAGCCGAATTATAAGAGTTATTGATTTTGTTTCACTGTAGTAAATTGATGGACCCCAGGATGTCCCGCACCATGAGCCTCCCACTTGGGGTCTACTGGCTTCTTGTATCTGCATGTAGCCATCTGGGCATCCATCTTCCGTAAACGATGTGAAGCGACCGAGTGTGAAGCTGTCAAATAGAATCTGTGAAAAAAACCTATTGTTAGCTAAGATATTGTTTCTATATTCAGTGTAAACTCTTTATAACGAACTTCAAGGGACCGACCATTTTACTCGTTATAGAGAGGTTTCATTATAGGAAGGGAATAATTAATGTATGGGTATTGGGTTAAACCAAATAAATTGAACTCAATTTACGTTATGGACGTTATAAAGCTTTTACACTGTATATAAAAATATTATATTGCTTTGTGTACGCTTCAAAAACTCAAAAAGTTCTGCACCGATCGAGCTGAAATTTCAGCATGATATATAATCCGCATCAAGGATTGTTTTTATATTTTTACACAACTATTGCAATTAAACTTATATGAAATGTTTTCTTTGTTTTGTTTCTCATTTCTCAACCATTCAATCACAATGTCCCACATCGAAGCGTGGCAGGGAACAGCTAGTTGCATATAAATGTTTGAAATTTTAAAACTTTGATTGTTGCCAGATGTTTTTGATACATAAACTTATTATCTTTAATACTGTTTTTTCAACTTTAATTTACTTTGCTAAACGCATTCGACTAAGTGCAACACTTAACCGAATGCGTTTTTGTCTAGACTCACAACTTCATATTGTAAACTAAAATGTTAGTGCAGGATTTTTCACAAAAGCAGTAAAAGTTTCTCAAAGTGTTAACACGGCAACTACATCCATTCCATCTCAGCACTTTGCTGCACTCCTATAATTAACTTTGAAAGTTTTTAATAAAGCTCTCCCTATGCCGAGTTGCAAACGAAAGTTTAAATTAATTTTAACGCATTTTGTGCAAGTGTTTTCAGGTTTTTAATATAATTTAGAAGTGCGGAGTTGCTTTAAGTGTGTTCTTAAGGAGTCTAAATTAAGAGTGTATTGATGAGAGATAGTGAACAGAAGATATAAAATGTTGGTATCTGGTTTTATTACCTTTAGTTACTAAAAGTTAAAAGGAATAATAGGAATCCCGAAATGTGCAACTACAATTCTACCATTTTCATGTCACTTCAAATTTATATCTGTTTTATTATTAAAATGTCATTGTAACAAAATATAGATGTATTGACAATATAACTTTAAAAAAAATTACTATAATAATAAAACTATTTCTTTATTCGTATTACCCATATTCATTTGAGCTTTCTAAGTTAACGATTACGCATATAAACACTCGGCGTAAAGTAAATTTAACGTCATTTAAAATTCAAGGCGCCCCACATTCGTTTGAGCTGCAAATTGAAACACCACATCTTATTTTGGCTGACACCACCACATTTAAATTTCATCAAAGACCCGACACTCGACGCCCTTGGCAATGTAAATGCAAGGCGGGCTCTGATATAGGCCAACGTAATACAAGACGTATTTTATTGTTATACGCTCCGAAGCGTGTCATGAGTGAGTGCCTTTTCATTTTTGATATTGTTTAATTCTGATATTCGCGCAAGGAAACGAAAAAGAAACCCTTTGGAGTAATGTTATGGAAATCCATAATAAATTCTAGTGTTACGCTTTTACAGTTCAACTGTTTTCTATTTTGGTAGCAGATTGAACAAAAACTATTGCATTATAGGTACACTGCCACGGGGACTAAACATTTTAAATTTAGTTTAAATTTTCTACTTATTAACTTTTAATTATTGATGTGAAAAATCTAAAGGCTCACTTGTAAACCGATTTGTTGGCGTGGCGACGCTTGCCGTGGCGACGGGTCGCCACGCTATTCTAAGGTATACATATTAGGTTGGGGAAAAAGTCTTTTCGCATTATACTATGTATGAACTTTTAATAAAATCTCTTTGGCTATACTATATGTATTTGCCTGTTTTGATGTGAAACATCTATAGCCGTACGTAAAACCGATTTTTGGCGTGGCGACGCATGCCGTGGCGACGCCACGCTATATCATGGTATATATATACAGTCTATATGCAGTAGTGTGTACGGTGTGTGTATTTCGAAGTCACTGATTAAACGAATTAAGTAGTCACGATTTGAAATAATTGTCGATGTTTCACATCTGCCAGGCGTCCCGTGACGGCTCACATTTTTTTATTATTATTACGCAGGTTAAGAATTTTATAAATATTTGTGTGTTGGAAATTTAATTTTCTATATCTAAGATCATGAGGGATGAGTTTTGAAAGTCAATTATGCTATTGCTCCCGTCAAAATACCATACGTTTTGACGTACATAATTCACTTTGCTAAGTCTCGGGTTTGATTTGGAGGAATAAATTAAGTCTAAGTGTTGCCTTAATAGTTAAGTGTACGACTTAAATGTAAACGTTACGGCTAGTGTTACATTTAAGCATTGATTTATGAGTAAAATATTTTAAATGAAAGTGTATATTTCTTAAAAATCTGAATCCAAGTTACGAAATAAGTATTTCGATATCACAATGTTAAGAAGTTGACACTCGCAAGGCCGATACTGTCTCTCGAGAAAGTCTCTTAAAATTGTATTTTCCGTACAACCGGAAGGGAAATGGCGGAAAGTATCACGTACATACACTTCGCTTGATATCGTTCACAACCTGTGTAGCGTTATGTTCATATTCGATACAAAACAAATTTTGAAATGTATTTTAATTTGATCATTTATTTGTAGTTCGCACACGGCATTAATGTGTATCTCACATGGACGATTTTTTGTAAAAATACAAGCTAGTACTTTGTTATATATGTTCTTTTTAGACAAGCATTACTACTATTACTGTGTGATGCTCCTGTGCCTTACACGTCGGCAGTTTATAGGTCTAATATATTCTTTAAGAGATGAGCCTCCTGTCCGTTAACCCTGTTTAAAAAATACCAGATTTTATTTTAAAAATAATTAAATAAATCTTTCATTCTTTATCAAGGTCACAACAAGTTAGTTTCGGATGAGCTCCGTGTTTCTAAATCCAAATTACTAGGCGCTTAACGTGAATCTAATTTTTGTAACGGCCCCGTTTAATTATTACGTAAGCAGATTTACTGCAATTAATTCCCCCCTTCCCCTTATCAGCAAAAGTAAGCAAAGCTCTCCAAAATAAAAGCACAAAAACGTACTATATACATTTTTTGAAGGATTTCTCTAAAATGCTTTTCGTTTTAAAGCATAGACAATGTGTGGGTAATATGTGGAAATAAATACAGAATTACTCTTGACATAATCACCAAATAAGAAAATCAAATACCCCCCTCGCCCTATAGTGCTTACGTAATACTTGAACGGCCCTAGTTCATTACTTCCCTGCCTAATTAACAAGCCAAACTAACCTTGCAACCGAAAAACCGTGCGAAATTACACAAATGTGTCAAGAATACAAAGACCATTAAAAATGCTGAAACAGTCCTAGATTTTATTTTAATTCGTGTCGCGAATACTTTTCTTTATTAACATGGAATGTGGGGAAGAGAATAGTATAACGAAAACAAAGGGAAACTTCAGTGGAAATTCAACCGAGTCATCTCCACAATTTGATGTTTTATTTCAAAGTAGAAAAACGAATACGCCATATTAAGTCCTGTCTGAGTAACGCAATTGACGCCTGTTGTTTTGCTAGTAGCAAAGTTATTAATAAATGTAAAATAAGAATCATTTAATGTATATTTATTTTTTGACGTTCATAAGTGTACATTGTGTTACCTACATGAATAAATGATTTTTGACTTTTGATGAATTTTAGTTTCCGTGAAATTTGTAGACACACAAAATTCACCAAACGTGCTTGGTGTAAATGGATCGTCATACTCAAATATTGAACTCGACAGAATTTTTTTGAAGTTGGTTAAAAAATATCATTCTTCTTCTTGTTCATACTAAAAGTAACCAAATAAAACTAAAAATTCGTCATACAAAACTGGCGAGGATCTCAAACACTCCCTTTGAGGCATAGGCAAATATGTCTCCGTTCTAACTTTGATAAAAGTGTTCTTTTTGCATCATTCAACCGAGTACACGTTTTACTGTCTGACAATTCATATATAACGAATAAATACCTTTAGAATGTGCATTTGAAATGTATGCACCAAAGGATTTTTTATTAGGCACTTCATATTCAACATAATTCACTCAAATGCAACCACGAAAGAAAATACCGGTCACCGTGGGGCTCAGCGACTACCACCAACAAAATTGGAAAATTGACGCGAGGAATAGAGACAAGAGGAAGAATTTGGAGGAAGCTTTCACTCCGTCGGAGGTCGAGTACTAATACAAAACATAATGACATGGACTTAGTTTAGTTTAGTGTAGTGTAGTAACTGGAATAAAGATTATTTTTATTTTATTTTTGAAGTGAAACCTCTTTAGGCGCATGAGGGTAAATTATCACGAAAACGTCACGAATTGCGGCGTTTTTGTCGAAAAAAAGGAGATAGCTATAAAGACCGATTGAGAGGGAGTGAGAAGGGCGAATTCCCTTATAGAAATTCTATTTTTGAAATTAAAATTTTGTAAAGAGAATTTATGAAATATTAGTAAGTATTCTATATTTTATGCAAAATAATTTAATGAAATCTCAAATGAGGACTTGTAAATTAAAATGCCACGTGTTTTTATTAACGAAGAAATAAATTCAAAAAAAGAAATTTATAATTTGTATTAATTTTCGACACGTTTAATATTTTAATAACAATTAAATTCGTAACATATCTTCCTTATTTCCCACTAAGTCTCGAAAATCTAAAGTTTAAGATTTGTATAAATATGAACAAGACTTAAAAATTAGTTTGCCAAAGAAGTTTCACTTCTGCCATATGTACTTTGTACGCACGCACTTTTTTTTATAAGGCACTTCAGTACGGCGAAAAACATCCCGACACTTGTACGACATGGGCGTTACAACGTATAAGGTCTGGGCCTTACCTACCTATTAGAAGGGTAAGTGATCAGCACAGAATGCTTGACATACGCCGTCGACTTTTCTGGTCTATGTAATGCCGGTTTCCTCACTATGTTTTCCTTCACCGTTCAGTGTTAATTTCGCAGATATAAAGTCGGAACAGCCGGAGTTCGTACTTAGTGGCATCAACGTACTAGTACTCTTATCTGACCTGATAAGAGTACTAGTACGTTGATGCCACTAGACCAACACTATTTGTCTATAAAGCATAATATAGGTATCAATGCGTACTGAACATTATATTATCTTTTCATTTTAACAACGTGCAAACATCAGTGATGATATATCGATATAAACTATTTCCAGCTAGTGAACAATTCGTCTATTTAGAGAATATCTGTGTCATTCGAAAAAGCTGAATGGCAAGGTCGCATTTAATATTGAAAATGTTGAGATCAAACTTCTCAAGTTGAAATGAGCGATTGCCCGCAGCGGTCAAAAGTACTTTACAAAGTTTTGAAATTTTAATACCTTATCTATCGAGCAAAATATTCTGTTGAAATATTTCTCTTTTGTGAAGACAGAAATACCTCGCTGGGCAAATAAAATTCATTTATTTAGATAAAGGTAATGTACACTTATGAACGGAAATTTAATAATAGGTAGATCTAAATTAACATTTACTACCAGTTCCCAAATTAAGAGTGTAGAACGGGTGAGAACTGGCAAGGAACTATACGCCGCTTTTTTTGATTCTCAATTTTTCGGTTTATATTTGTAAGAAATTTGTTGGTATGATTGAACAAGTGTAGCATTCCACATGATAACAAAACAATGAGTCATAATAAGAAAATAACAATCGCTTATGTGCGTGCTCCTATTTCGCAAAACATCGATGCATTTCGAAATAGGAGCACACACATAAACGTAAGAACAGAATAAAGGGTTAAAATGTATAAATGTGTAAATAATATACACGAATTCAAGTGGACAAACGAATTTAACAATTATATATCAATTAATACATATTTTAGTTTAACAAAGAAACCAATTTGTACGCCAGTTTTGGCTCATGTTTTGCAAGATTATAAGCAAATTTATTTTAATTCATACAAATCAATCTCGTATATTTTGAGATAACGACCATCATGTTTGAAGTAAATTATTAAAAAGCCTTAATAAATGTTATACATATAGAACCAGAATACCTTATTAATTGGTTGCTAGGTAACGTTGAAGGGCAAACGTCTTTATCAGTAGATAAATATTGATAAAATAAATACGGATTTATTTCGTGGCATTGTTTTATACGATATGGTTTGGAGTGTGGATAATAAAGTAGTTTTAGTCACGGGTGGTGCAGCTGGAGTTGGTGCTGGATTAGTGCGTGAACTGCTAGCTAGGAATGCAGCGGTATGTATAAATATTAAGAAAAAAAATTAAAGATGTGGCAATAGAATTAACTGCGTGTAAATTGTAGTAATCAAACTTTTTAAAAGGAAATGTCTATCTTTTTATTGATTATCTTAATTTAACAGTCTTCAGTTGTTCAGTGCCTCAATTTTTTTTATTACTGTAACACCAGTATACTAAGGAAAAGATTCAAAGTCGAGAGTTAAGTATGACTCCCATATGTCAACCCACAAACAAGTATTGGATTTTGACAGGAAAATTGGAATCGCAGTGCTAAGTCTTTGAACCTAAACCTTTTCTAGTACTTCTGTAATTTCCACAGATTTTTTGAACATCTAAGAGTTGCTTAAACCCCTGCAACAAGATATTACTATAAAGACTGATAATTTCTTTTATCTTACATCTTTTAATAGTTGCGGTTCAAGTATCTAATCTATAATTCACTTTAAATAACATATGTAAGCTACGAACATTTATCAATCTCTACTATGGTTTAACACCACATGTTGCAATATATCGAACTTCAATTATGTCTATAAGAAATGCAATTAAACCCAGTTTCCTACGACGGAAGTGTCCGTATACAGTCAATTGTTGGTCCTTAGTGATTCAAATGCACAGCCTAAGCTACTAAGTATGGAAGCTATTTATATATATTTAATGTTATTTATTACCTAAGGAATGATTTTTTGGTGTAGATAAATTTTAATATTAGCTATCAAACATTACATATAATAGATATTAACATTTCAAGAATAAACAATAGAATAAATTGATTATTTATTCAAGAATAAATAAATTATTGAATAGCTGTCCTGGACTTCATCACCTTAATATGATTTTTAGTCTACCTTATTAGTAGCTGCATACTAATATTAGAACATTTTCTACTCCATAGAGACTGTTCGCCTTTCCCGAACCTACTATTTTGCTCTCCATAAACACCTTCCCCAGAGTTCAAGGAATAAATGAAAAAAGCATATTCTAATTGTCCAGGCGTCTTCGAGTTCTGCGCTTAGCAACATATTTTTCTATATACAGTCAAAACCGTTTACGGCGACATCGTTTAGAATAACATAGGTACCGGTTATTTTGACCAAAATCAAAGGTCCGAGCGGGTAAAACTATGTATTAGGTACTTAATAACAACGTCATCGGTTCTTACGCCTATCGGTTTTTACGACCAAATATTTTGACTGTATTTTTATTTATATAGATTAGACCATTTCATATGAATAGTAATCACAAAAACCACTAGTAGAGTAGATTGGTTGTTATCAAGGGTCAATTTATACATTATTCATTAATTTTTATTAAAGCTATTTAAAAGCTAATTTATAAACGTTGGAAATGCAATATTACGAAAGAATAAAAAACCATTTCCACATTTGATTAGAATTATTCTCTATTGTAGAGACTAATTTTCCACTGTAATATTCTGAAGATTCTAAAAAGCAATCGAAATCCTCCCCAAAACGGGACATTCGCCAAATCACGTAGGATTTCATTATTGGGCTTCGTTAAGCTAGATTTGTTGGTGAAAATCCGCACAAGGAAAATTCGAAAAGAAGTAAGATAAGAAATCAGGTTTCTTATATATAATATTACAGCGTGAAATCAATATAAATTGAGAAGAAATTTTTCTACAAATTAGGTATCCATTTTGTATTATTATTTAATAAAATAGTTATAGTTTACTATATAGGGTAAGAGTATTGTAAATAATATTGCTTGCCCCGGAAAAAGCAATCGTAGTTAATGTAAATAGGTAATAAATAAGTAAATTTACCTAATAGTAATTTACTAATTAGACTGAAGAGCAAACGCATACGATTGTTTCACTGTTTTAACAATAACAACGACACAGTAACCGCACATTACAAAGGTAATTTGACGAATGTCTAGAACGAAATTTACTACAACTTATTTCGCGGAAATATTATATTACCTTTGTGAAATAGATTTTATTATAATTGATATCTAAAATTTTTTGAACTTCACCTCCAATATGTTATAAAATCGAGTTTTATACATTTACTATACAGTTATATAGTAAATGTATAAAACACGATTTTATATATAAGGTAGGTTGGTCAGCTTTTGTAATCTGAAACAATTATTGTCTTGCCGGGTATTGAACCAACGACTTCCAGGCATATGTTAACCACTAAGCCTTGAAAGCAATCACCATATTATGTTTTTCAACATATTATAAGTACCAATTAATTAACAACTTGACGTGTTCGTTATTTCAAGAAATTTTGATAATCTTATACAGACGCTAAATCCCAATTGCAGATACAAAAATATTTGAACATTAGCCCGGATTTAGTCATGATAATTTTCACACACAAGATAACCCACATTTAACATATATCAAATTAATTACATAACATATATTATATTGACTTAATGCCAGTAACTTTAAATGGTTACAGCATGTCGCGTTTCTTGATGTTGCGGTGAGAGAGGGTGCCGCTTTAGAGAACGAACTTCTAAATAAGTTTGGAGCTTTAAGAGCGAAGTTCATACAATGTGACATCACTAAGGAAGGAGAACTCAGTGAGGCATATAAACAAGTTTTCGATAAATATAGGAGGCTGGATGTCGTCGTGAATAATGCTGGGATTGTAGGAGATAATGAAATGTGCAGAGAGATGATTGATGTTAATTTTGTAAGTGTGGGATTTTAATTGCTTTACTAATATATTAAGAATAGGTTTTCACAAAGGTATATCGTGTATTTGTAACATATACAACATTTATTTAAATATTGTTAAAGATTGATTTCTCTCCCTAAAATATGGCGAGGAGGCCGATGGCTGGCCATGCGTCGTGCTCGTGAACGGGTGCTTTGTGGTGATAGGTCGTACTTGAGTTCGGGTATGCGGTGATGTTAGTTATTTCGACTATGCATTTGCGTGTTGTTCCCACGAGAATGTAAGTGACTGCACCTATTTCACCATGCCTCCTGCTGAAAGAGGACAAATCTTTGTTTTTAATATATTTTATTATTATTAATTACTTAAGATGTCATGTGGAACATGGTGTAATGGTTGCAGCTCCTTACAAACGTTGTGTAAAACAAAAAACTTGGAGATTAAAAAGAGTGGCGGAGAGTTTATTGCCAGTTCTTCTCTTTCGTTGTACGCCCTTGATTTGAGAACTGGCAGTAAATGTTAAATTTTTTGACGTTCATAAGTGTACATTGTGTTACCTATATGAATAAATGATTTTGAATTTTGATATAAACTGAAATCAGAACCCAACTGAGTTTTAGAAGATTTAAATGTTAAGTCTAATCAATAATTCAATAATTTAGTCTAGATTAAATATTCAAAGGAATACGTAAAATGTAATAAAAACCCGGTATTATTGCAAAGCTACATATGATAATAATAAACAAATCGAAAAAAAACTGCGTTTTCCATGTCGAATTATTTACTTAACTTAGACGAATAAGAAAGAATATCAAATCAAATTAAGTTTTATTTAATTATATTGGTAACAATGAACAATATAAACGTCAATATTTAAAAGCGGAATATCTACCAGTTCCCAAATCAAGGGAGTACGGTACTCGTAATAAAATCAAAATGCAATTAATCCCTAACCATACTAAACTTCTCCATCATACTTATTCCGGCTAAAAAGGCATTGTAAAGCTCATTTTAATTCCTTTTAACTTTTTTCAGTGCGGTACTGTAACGAGTACATTGAAGGCTTTAAGCATAATGAGGGCGGACGTGGAAGGCAGCGGCGGGGCCGTAATAAACGTATCATCCTCGCATGCTTTTAAACCATCCTCTCTCTCTGTGTACAATGCTACAAAAGCCGCGGTGTTGCAATTTACTAATTTTCTAGCGGTAAAGGCAAAGATTGATTATTACTAATATTTTAGAAACTCACTGACTGGTTTAATAATAATAAGTCAACACAATATATGAAATCAAAAAAATAAATCAGTGGCGCTACAGTATTTTTAGGTCTGGGCCTCAGATTTCTGTATCTGTTTTATGATCATTTGTTAATCTAATAGGAAAGTAGGTGATCAGCTTCCTGTGCCTGACGCACGCCGTCGACTTTTTGTGTCTAAGGTATGCCGGTTTGCTTACGATGTTTTCCTTCACCGATCGAGCGAATGTTAATTAAATTAACATTCGCTCGAGAACTAAACAAAACAACCATACAGTATTGACAATTTTCTTAACCCACATAGTAATACTAGACGTTTGTTTTTTTATTTTTTATTCATATCCCCGATGCTCAGATATTTTAGATTAGACTCACTCACACTTCTTACTTTAAATAAATTTTTGAGACATATACCAAGAAGTGTTGACTGAATGCGCATTTTTATGAGAACCTCGAGACTTAGTAAACATACAATTCCAGTGAACTCATTAAGCCAAAACTTTGACGAAAATGTTCAATTCATTTTCAGGGTAATGAATCTGGAATGAAAGTACGTATAATCACAGTTTGCCTCGGACCGACGGACACGGCGCTGCTACACAAGAGAAACTTAAACAACTTCGCAAAAGACGCTCACGGACTAACTTCAGAGCCTCAAAGGTAATTTGTTATGACTTGAAAATACTCGCCCCGGAGGAAATGAGAGCAAAAGTCGAAGTAATCTTTGAAAAAGATTTTTCTTCTTGATTTTGCTTGGATTTACGATTCATCTACATTTCGATTAAGAATATGACATATTACTTAAGCAGTTTAGTGTTTATATTATTATATTTATGTATTGGAATTGTAAAAATTTGTTTCACTTGTAGGTTCGTACCTTTCGACTTTTCGGATTTTTTCACTCCAAAAATGTTAACCATACTTTTTTGTGACAAGACTATAGAAAACAACTAACATATCTATTATACAAATTATTACAAGGAATTTCACCATCTAGAACTGGGATATGTTAAGTACCTCCATAAACGGTCCAACGACTTTAGGAATGTAGTACCTTCAATGTGTGACAAATTTAGATTTTTTGGTACCCTTAGATCCAAATAAGAAAAATATTTATCTAAATACGAAATATATTCATAACAAAATCCAATATATAAAATTAAATAAACAAATCCATAATAAAAGTGACTAAAACTGGACTCTGAACACGTCGCACTAAAATAATTGGGTACATGGTTACTGTACACACAGACATCCTGGGTTTGCATCACGTAACATAAATATGACTCCTCAAAGAGCCAGAAAATAGGGGAATTATTTTGACAAATGACAACACACGTTTAAGTCACTCATGCATAACACATGAGGCGTAAACGGGCAAATTTCAATTTTCCTCTTTATGTCTCTATATTTCTGTACTTCAAACGCGTAGGTTTAAATTGCTTATACATATTTAATATATAAACATGGTCCTAGGCTTAAAGGTCGGCGTGCAAGACTTACAAATTGTAAGAAAAGTTAGCAATGTTTGCAAAGTTAATTGTTAAACAAAAGTGATTTGTTTTTTCTTTGCCTCAAGCTTCTTGAATCGTGTAATTAGAAGGAAGAAATTGTTAGGCGCTTAACAGGCCTACCCTTAGTTTTAAGTCAGTTCTTAACGAACTGGTTGTTGCAAATCTTTACTATAAGACAGAAATAGAACTCTAATTACGTAAACTAACATTGAACACCAAGTTCGATGCAGTTATTTGAATACCCGTAGCGCTGATGTCGTAACTACGCGCCGAGTAAAATTACGTAATATGAAAACTTTACAGGCACAAAGACTATCATTTAGAAGCACATAAATGTAATAATATCGTTAATTTTTCAGAGTAGAATCAGCAGTTAACGGTATAATTGAAGTAATTCAGCGCGCGGACAACGGAACAACGTGGATGATATCCAACAATGATATGGCACGTGACGTAACGAAGAAGGTTAGGGAAAACCTTAAGGGTCTGTCGGAAATCAGCGAACCTTTTTAATACGCTTATGTGATTACGGAACGGAATATTTTGTAATAAATAAACGTAAAGCTGTGTTTAATTTTATTTAAGTGTAAATACATTTTTGTATATAATTTTGGTAACTGTGTTTCATTTAAGTCCGCCTAATAAGGCATGAGTACTTTTAATTATGTTTATAGATAAACGCCCTCGCACAATCGTTTCGTCTGTTGTTTTATTCTCACTAAATTATAGGTAAAAATCAAATTGATTTTACCAATACAAAGACGCGTTAGAGTATCAACTCAACTATCCAAAATATGTTTTGAAGCGTGACCCAAAGATTATTACTGGATGTAAGTTTAATTGACGTTTTAGAAAATATACTTAATAAAGCAATTACTTTCGAGGCATTGGTAATTCAACGAAAGACAGTTCGTACTAAAAGTAAGTAAAATAATTCTTATGAGCAATGCTAAAAAACCACAGGTTAACAATGCTGGAATATAAACAATGTAAAATAAATAAAGAATTCAAAATATTAATACAAAAGGTTTTAATATTAGCCCACTGAAGCGCAAACGGATAATAGGTGCTCAACAAAACAAGATTTTCGTAAAGCCATTTACTCTGGAAAATATGAGCAATAATAAATGTTTGTGTAATCGAGTGTGCTTAGATAAAAACGGGCCCTGAATTCACACCGGCCCTAATAGATAACCTTGAAAATATTATGTACTTAACGCGAACGGCTTTCTTTATAAAGTTAATCTCATTATTAACATATAAATCTTCAGTACCTGTGTTTGTAATTAAGCTCCTCTTAAGTCGGTAGTAGATTCGACTATTTAGCATTCAAATCTAAATAGTCGAATCTACCGTTTGTTTTTGATTTTTATTTTGTTGACATGTATACAGAACGCCTATCGGGTCCGCTAGTTTCAAATGTTTTTATCACTTGGTATTTATTACCTTGTATGATTAAAATTAGATGCTCTTGCTCTTTTGATGGTCTTTATATGTGTACGATATTAAAAATAATAAATATTTTTGAATATAGTAATCATAACGATCAAATCATCATGACGGTTAATGTTTGTTAAGTATTATAACACATGAATGGCAACACGTTTTGACAGTTGATTGATGGGTCTTCTATTGTATCTAAGATGTAATAAGCTTTATTTTAATTATATGTCCTAAACAATTATATAAAATTCATTTTAATATATTTTGTCCCTTCTATCGATACGCTGAATCGTATTGATAAGGTATCACCATTAGCATGAGGGATTTTCTATTTCATGTTGTTTTCTGTGTCAAGCAATATTTACGTAACGAAACAAAGTAATTAAAATATGATATTTATTTCCTTAATTTCAATTTTTATAGCTACTTAATTGTTATGACATGGAATTTTTTTACTTAAAAGTTAGTTTTACAAAAAAAATTAAACTAAAAATATGATACCCGTAAAAGAACTAGAAAAAGGAGCCTAATCTAAAAGGAGACTAATCATGAATAACATGTTTAATTACCCTTATAATTTCAGCCAGTGTACGATGAAATAGTAGACTTAGATGCATTATTAATGAGGGTGCAAAATGATCGCAGTACTGCTAGAAATTGCGAGCAGCTTACTCGACGAGAGTGGTGGCGGAGTGTCCAGTCTCTCCAACATTTTCGTATTATATATAATTTGCGCGGAGTCACAGAAATTTATCATTAATCCTAGTTCAATAGTACCGACCACTGAATAGAGAAAAATTAAATATATCTTACTATAGTACTACGACAATGATCGTATAGCAAATACAAACCCGAGGGAATTTAATTCTGTTAGAAGTATAAACCAATATTTATTTTTCCTTATATCAATCGCGGCTAAAGGAACAAAAATATTTGTACAAAACTATTTCATATTTACTTACTCGGAACAACTTCGTGTATTACTCGGGACATTAAAGAAACGGATCCAAAATAGGTAGACATTTTGAACGGTTGTGACGAAGTACAAATGAAGATGATGTAATTCAGGTTCAATAACATGTCCTGATTTTTATTAAGTGTGATTAACTTAGACAATAATTTCTTCAAATCAACATAGTCCCTAACTATATGCTTAGAGCAGTGTTAGTGGCTTCAGCGTGCGACTCTCATCCCTTAGGTCGTAGGTTCGATCCCCGGTTGTGCACCAATGGACTTTCTTTCTATGTGCGCATTGAACATTTGCTGAACGGTATAGGAAAACATCGTGAGGAAACCAGCTTGCCTTAGACCCAGGCACAGGAAGCCGATTCCATTCCTTATATAGAAAAAGTATTGATGTGACTTGGCTTGACGATTAAAACTACACTTTTCTCGCTGAAAATATACAGCTAATATCTAAATATATAAAACAAAGTCGTGTTAGGTACACCATTTATAACTCAAGATCGGCTGGACCAATGTTAGTCATCTCTTTTTTGGTGAATTCTTCTCCGCTCCGAATAGCATAATAAGTAATAAAATATCGGATAAGTTATCGAATAACAATAAATAATTAAATTAATTTTACGAATTCAAACACCAAGTGGTGGCATCTGTTGACAAAATTACGCACCATTTTACATCGAATTCGTGTCAGTTCAAGAAATTCCGATCTTGAAGTGAATGAGGAGATGCATAACCAGGCTTTGGTCTTGATCGAAGATTACCTCATCAAAAAATGTTGTATCAGAAAGTGATTTAACAGTGCAAGCAATAAAACATTTCTGTATTTGCAAAAAAAAGTTGTATTAATGTTATTATCTTAATGAAATTCTAAATTAAGTTTAAAGTTAACACGATATTATTAGACTGTTAGGCGGGCCGAAGTTAGTTGGGTCAGCTAGTTTAATAATAAAATACAAATACTGCAAAAACGAAATTCGTACAAAATTATTGCAATGAGGACGCCTGTTTGGATTCGTTTCTTTATACTTTTACTGGAGTTTATTGACGTAACGAAGTAATTTTTCTCCAACCAATCTTTTATGGTTTCTGTCTTAGTACTGACCTAATTGATTACTTGGTGAAGGGAGGCCATATATTTATGTGCATTGACTGATGCATTTATTAGAAACTGAGAAATTAGATTCGGATCACCTCATTAAGCGAATACATAAGTTTTCTTACATATAACTAAAATACTGGTCTTATGATTGTATGTTAAAACAATATAGCGTGACTCATTTTATGAATATGGGCGTTTATCTTTAATCGGAATATAAAAGAATTCAGAAATCATTGTGTTATGTTTTAATAAAGGTAATTAAATCCTGTCAATATAAATAATTTTAATTTTATACAAAAATGTATGGTAATCCTACTAATATTATAAACGCGAACGTTTGTAAGTATGTATGGATGTTTGTTACTCTTTCAAAACTACCGAATGGATTGTAATGAAACTTTACAATAATATAGCTTATACATCAGAATAACACATAGGCTAAAAAAAATACTCTACCGAAAAGTGACCCTGTATTACCTTTTCAGAATTCCTATTAAATGCGCCAAAACTTGTAATACAGGGCACTTTTCGGTAGAGTAATTCTTTTTTTCACAGTGGGGTCCGAAGTAAACAAAAAGTTTTGATTTGAAAAAAATGTATATCGTATAACTTAATATTATCTTCAATACACTCAATAAACAACTATAAATAGTATGTCTAACGCAAGAACTCATCAGTACCAATCTAGTGGATATTATGAAAAAGATACAGGATGTATTTTTTTTCGAATTTCAATAAGAATTAGTAAAAAATAGTCAATTTTATTATAAAACACAAAATAAATTATAACTCTGCAGGGGTTGAGCTTAGAGACCTCCCGTAGAACAATTTTTGGCAGCTGATGACCTCATCTATCCCCTATTTGCGTTTGATCCACGACTTTTTGGCCACCCTGTATATATATACATTAACGTAAGCAGAAGCGATTATACTTTTTTCGCTGAGAACACTAAATTATTAAAAACTTCACCTTTCCGGTTACCAAGGTTTTGGCGTCTATAAGTGCTATATATTAAGCTAATTGATGTAATTTTTTAAAATAATTATTATCATACATTACTTATGATGCATCCGTACAGACCCTTTTGATAGCTTATTTTCATATAATTAAGTTAATTCCAAGTGAACCCCTTTTATATCTATGATAGCAGTCTTTTTTTTTCAACCTAAAATTTTCGTTGAAGGAATATAAAATCAGGTTTATGTATATAGGTTTTGGAGAATTCGATCGTAATTTTCGGCTTCAACGCTCGCACTAATGGAGCTCGATTCGACTGAAATCGAGAGCCAGTATTTTCACAATACCGCTTGATATTTGAACTGGGAGCAGAATAATGATACTTGCATCATAGCTGGATATCTTCTAAGCATTTATGTTCATAAGGTGCAGATCATAAACTTTTGACTATTTTTTATTACATAATAGCGGCCCTCAACACTGAGGTCGAACAGCTATTGAATTATCTCAATTAATACTTTCTCGAAAAACGAATGTAAATATCGTGAATAAACAGAAATATTCAAAAAACTGAAAAAGGTTGGAATTGTCTGCAAAAATACTACAACATTCGATCAAAGAGCAATACTCCCATAGTATTATTTGATTATTATTATTAGACATATAAGCAGTTGCGCTAACATCACGAGCGTTATACACGTTATTGGTTGAATCTTGTTGTTTAATGTTTTCTTAAAAACAGAGGAACAAACTAAGATAAACCTCAGAGTCAAAGACTTCTTCTGTGTATGTTTCGATTCTATTTAGTTTTCATGTTTTACTAATAGGCAAGTAAGTGACCGGCCTTTTGTGCTTGACACACTCGCCTTTTTAGTTTTGTGCCGGTTTCCTTACGATGTTTTCCTTCACCGCACAAGCGAGTGTTAAATGCATATAGAGATAGAAAGTCCATTGGTACACAGCCAAGGCCAATACACTAGTGACTAGACCAACGCTGCGTAACTTAAATTAGCATACAATAATAGAACGCTAAACTATAGTCAACAC